GGGGCATATACTTTCTTGGACCAGGACACGTCAGGAAACTTTGATCCGTCTAACGAAAAGCGTGTCCCTAAGAAGACTAGGACTCACGCTGTGAAATTCCCTAAGAAGGTTCCCGTAAAGTTGCAAAGTAGCAAGGCGAGCAGAACGGATAAGACGAGCAAGACGCACAATTTCTATAACATCCCCAAGCCTACTGCCACTCACAAAACTATCAAAGGCAAGAAAAAAGTGCGGTCTAAGACCCCTCCGTCTAAAGATCAAGAGCAAGACAAAGCCGAGAAACCACCGCGTATTCTTGAGCCCCGGTACAACAACTACCTTACTCCAGAAGCTTTACGAATACAGCCAGTAAAGTCGCGCTCTCTAAGCCCAGACATCCTTGAAGACACCGCTGGAAACTGGGGCCAAGTAATTCGGATGAAGACTAGTTTCACACATCCAATTCAGTTCGATGTCAGTCTTGGAGACGATAATATCCTTGATTGCAGCTTCTGCAATATGGCTGAATTTAGCTTTGTTGGCTACTTTGAGCAAGACGTGTATTGTATACGCTGGGAGAACGGATGTGGATATACGCACATAGCTGGCGGTCAGACTAAGCATGGTCAAACTAGTATGTGTCAATCTTGCACAATAGGTATGTGTTGTACTTCATTGTTATGGATTTATGGTAATTCATCACATCTTTGCTAATGCGATTATTTAGGACGAGCACAGATTGTAATGTGTGAGGGTCATGACATTCAACGGATATACCCAGACACTGTTGCCGTTGACTTTGCCGAAATTCTCAATGATTTACTTACAGAGGAGGATCCCGCTGCTATTAAAAGGCAGTTACTACGATGGTGTTCTATGTGCTTCTCACCTGCGGTTTTCGCCTGCCGTAAGCGTCAGTCATCTCTGTTTTCTAAGAATGAAGAGATTGATAGTTGTGGTCTAAGACTCTGCGCTGCCTGCGAGATAAGGCTCAGAGAAAATTTCGAGGGGGATACAAGTGCTATGGCTGCTACGCTGGATGATGAGGACAAAGCTAAAGAAGACGATGAGGATCTGCATGGGAAGGTCAGAGCGGATGTTGGATTCTTAAGCACAGATGGTATTCTTGCGAGGAATCTGAATTGTTTAACAGAGGTAGAAGATGAATAATTTCCCTCAAAGCTACAGTATTATCGTGAATTTAGGGTGGCATCTCCTACACAAACGTCCCTGGTCTCAATAGGTGCGAATCCCCAGCCCGCGACTTCGAATGATCCCTTACTAAATTACATGGGTTTCACCACTCCAAGATTCCACCCAAGGAAACCTCTCTCTCTCTCCGCCCCTAATGACCATCGTACTCAATGCGCAAATCGGGATTCCAACCGCCTATTGCCTTTATCCGTCGTAGTTAGCAAATACGTCTCCTTTTCTTCCCTCGTCATTCCATCCCATATGCGAGCTCTTCTCCTATTGAGAACAATATAATACTGCTTCGATGCTACAAATAGCACCAAATTATACATACAAGTCGCGATCAAAATCTAGTTTCCCCTACGGTACAGCGGTTTATCATCTTGGCGATACACGTTCTAGGACATGATCGTACTGACCATGAAGATAGGGTGCCTGAAAGGGCTTCCAACGAGCAACGTACATAGGACCCAACGCGACCAGTGCGATGCATTCGCGGGTAAGACTTCGAGAGCGATGAGAAGCGGCAAGCACCAGACTTGCGATACGAGAGCAACGAGGAGACGCTGATCAGTGCGTTCAGATACCCACGTCCAGAAAATCATCTGGATCATTATAATGACAAATGCTGGAATCTATCGCCTTGTCTGTGTTTGCTAGTGGTCGCAAATAAGATTTGTTACTCACAGTTAGTAAATTCGTCTCAAACGTGCTAAACCCCAGCGACCGAAGCTGAAGTGTAATATACGCATTAGACGGCTGACGCGGAATAAACCATAACAAGCCAATCAAATAGATAGACAACATATGGTAATCCTTCATACACTCCCATAACATCCGCACACTCAATCCCTGACGATTATGCATATCCCCCTTACTCGGATCATCCCTCAAAACCCTGTTCACCATAATCTTCTCCTCTCTCTCACTAAACCAGCCCTTCTCCCTACGGAACGGGTTCCAAAACTTCGTCGCCGTCTGCGTCGGACTCGCAGGAAGATAGAACCACGACGCTATACCAATACAACCCGTGACGAGGCCTTCAATAGCGAATAGGTACCGCCACCCTTCCATCCCGTTGTGGCCTCTTAGACGCAAGATGCCAAATGCGAGAAAGGCAGCGAGGATATTTGTCGCAAAGGGAACTGCACCATACACGCTCATGCGACCCGGCAGCTCGAGTCCGGTGTAAAAATAGCTCATATAGAGAATACTATCGGGGATAAAAAACCACCTTCTAGCATACCTAATATCCCCCTACAAGCATAAAACGATTTCTTTCCGCTCAGAAACGCACGCATGCTCCCCACCAAACTCCACAGTATAATCGGAATCGGAATCCAATTATCAGGCCCAAGTTTCTTACTCATAAGTTGCGACGGCAATTCAGCGAATAAGAAGTAGAGGTAGAAAATCGTTTGTCCATAGTTCTAGTCGTTGGTGTTGAGGCCTAGACCCCCAAGCATGTTGTCGCTGAGGGCTTGCGATATGTTGCCGCGGTCGAGCTGGAGGGCGAAAAACATAAGGCAGACCCAGGAACAAATGCGCATGTCAATCTGCAGGGTGGTAATGTGAGACTTTTGGGTTGGTGTGGTCGGGTAAGTGGATGAGCTACTTTTCGTACGATACGCTTCTCCTCTGTGGGCCCCCATTCAAAGTCTGGATCGTATCGATGAATGCCCTCATATGCTGTGATGGGTTTGTAGTGGTCGCTCGCAACCCCTTCTGACACTAATGTTGAACCACACTTTTCTCTTCCACGTTTTTTGTGAGTTTCCGTCTCCTTTTTGCTGATGCTTGCCGCTACAGCAGAGCTGGCCTTGTCGCCTGCAGCCAGGCTATCCAGCGGGTTTGAAGTAGCCATCTTTCAACAAGATCCTCCGTGTCAGGAGCCCAAGCGCAGAAGAAGAGTGAATTTTACGCAATGTCATTGTGTGCGAGGCTTAATAAATTGAAGGCGATTTCAGCTTGCTAGGAAGACTGTGGTTTACAATCCCGTTTCCGCCCTTCCGTCCGAAACTTTGTTCTCGAAAGACCCTGTTGGAACATGATTAAAGTTTGGGCAAACAGCGAATACGAACATGATGAATGACTGTCGATGCAGTTTTCCTAACCATAGAGTGTTGTCACTCATTCATCTCCCGTTGTCATGTTTCGGATGGGACCACGCTAGTAATAGAGTATGTGATCACGTGCCCTTCGAGCACGCAAGGCTTCAATCAAATGTCGCATCCTCGTACAATAAACAAGGGTCGTGTTATCCCAACCAATCGAGCCAGCCTTGGTGGTGTCGAGTTCTGCGTCATTGGTTACATTGTAAGAAGCCCGCTAAACAACATCCCCTCATGGCTAGCCGGGATGGCGCGGTCGGAGCGTTTACTGACGTCTGTATATAGATGCCGGTTCGGCGTCGAGACGGGGGGGTCTTACATGCTACGAGCCAAGCAGCTGTTGGGAAAGTTTTTGCCGCTTTTGTCTAGCTTAAATCTTGTCACAAGGATGAGGCCATACACTCCATTTCTGATGCCATGCGACCGCATCCTGATTGAATAGATACGCGACGATCAAGTTCTCTTGTGATACCTGCAGCGGGGTCCTTATCAAGCCTCATCCTTCGCCAGCTGGGCGGCTTTGCCATCGCAGCTGGATAAGTGAAGCTGCGGGTATGCTTAGTACGACCGAGAAGGATATTTAAGAACTTAGATTAGATGGCATAATCCAGCCTTGCAAGATTCTCAACAGTGATTTCCAACTAGGGTATTTTCTGTTATTTCCGAAGAACAAAATGGCTCCAGCTGTAATTGAAACCCCGCCAACAGAATACAAGTCTGGTGTTGGAGCATACAAGGAATTTGGCCTAGGAGGCCCGAAGTTCTTTCAAAAAGAACTCGAGCTAAAGGGCACTGAAAAGCACTCGCCTGCCAAATACCCTCACTACTTGCCTGTCTGGGACAATGAGAAGGGACAAAAGTATACGCCGACTTACCTCGAAACTCATTCCCGACACTGACCTTTTACCCAGACTACCACCCTGGGAGCCCTTCACCCACGTCGAGCACGGCAAAGACGCCGACCCAACCTTCCCCAACCTCCTCAAAAACGCCACCGTCAACGACTTAACCGCCAACACGGGCGCTGAAGTCCACGGCGTTCAACTCAGCAAGCTTACCAACGCCCAAAAAGACGAACTTGCCCTCTTCGTCGCCAAAAAGAAAGTCGTCGCCTTCCGTGACCAAGACTTCGCCGACATCCCCATCAAAGATGCCCTCGAAATTGGTGGCTACTTTGGCCGCCACCACATCCACCCTACTTCGGGCGCCCCAGAAGGCTACCCAGAAGTCCATCTCGTCCACCGCGGCACAGACGACACTTCCGTCCGCGACTTCTTCGAAGAGCGCACAAACTCGGTCGCCTGGCACTCCGACGTCACATACGAGAAGCAGCCCCCAGGCACAACCTTCCTGTACATTCTCGATGGGCCCGAGGCAGGCGGCGACACACTATTTGCCAACCAAGCCGCGGCATATCAACGATTGAGCCCGGAGTTCAGGAAGAGGTTGCATGGACTCAAGGTTGTGCATTCAGGCAAGTGGTTCTCATTACTACACATACTTCATACACGCATATACCAAAAGAAGGAAAAGGGAAAGCAAGGTAAACTAACTTACTATACGACACACAGCCGTCGAACAAGCCGAAAGCAGCAAACTACGAGGCGGCATCGTCCGCCGCGACCCCGTCACTTCCATCCACCCACTCGTCCGCACGCACCCTGCCACGGGCGAAAAAGCCCTCTTCGTAAACCCCCAGTTCAGCCGGCGCATTGTCGGCTTCAAAAAGGAGGAGAGCGAGTACCTGCTCAACTTCCTCTACGATCACATTGCCAAAGGTCAGGACTTTCAGGTGCGTGTCAAGTGGGCGCCGGGCACGGTGGTGGTGTGGGATAACCGTGTGACTGCGCATTCGGCGCTGTTGGATTGGGATGATGGCGCACGTAGGCATGTTGCGAGGATTACGCCACAGGCTGAGCCTCCGTACGAGACGCCATTTGAGGAAAAGGTTGCTGCCACGTTTGAGTACTGACAATGAAGTCCTTTTGTGTGTGTTCAGCGCTAGATTGTGAGATTGCTGGATGTGCATGTAACCAACACGATGACGATTGGATGTGTCATGATTCAAGACAAATGAGTTGAAGTTAGGTTGAAGAAAAAGCCACTTGAACTATCTATTTACTACCAAACTATGGTATCAAAAACAAAAGATGAGACGAAACTCTCTTTCAGCCCAGTTAAAGTTAGTTCTACGTCAGAAAGACTGGGCCTGCACTCCCAATCTCCCTTCAGTCGAACCCTTCTTTCAGGCAATCTTCATTCGCTCCTTATCAGCGCGGGTCCCTTCAATTTCTCTACTCATACAGAAGTGAAATTATGCTGATCGACCTTCTCTCACCAATGCTCATGCGCCTTCCTTGGCCCTACCCTAGGTATATCCCATACACACCTTGCTGCGCCTGCAATGCAACCCGTTGTAACAATGTATTCGAAAAGTACTATCGTGAATGAACTGCTGTTTGAGCCAACCATGCAATCTGGTCGTCTAGGCGAAACCAAAGTATTCACCACCAGCAGTCATGGCGGTGTAGAGGGCTTTCCTAAGATCCTCATATGTCTCATACTCGGGCAGATCCAGTTCTGTAAAGTAGTTAGCATACATCTGGTGAGGATTATGGCAATTGACTTACGATTGAAGCAAGTATGACTAGATGGTAGACGATCTTTGCTGCCATAGTCACGGTGGATGTTGAACTTGGAGAAGCCATTCATACCCTCAAGTTCTTTAAATCCATTCAAGGGCACTTTGCTCGTACCAGTGACGAATTGAAGCAACTTAGCTTGCTCTTCTTTCTCGAATGTTCGGACTGCCCGCCAGAACCATTGGATTTGTGGTGATGCAGCAGTGTAGTTGTGGTATTCGGTATTGTTCTTCCAGTCATCGACATTGATATCAGGCAGACCAGAGATGAGAAGTTCGAGTTCTTGTTCGCTGAAGATTGAGACAAGCTCCGCAGGAACGATATCATGGAAGCCCTTCAAGAAGTGATCCAGTTGTTCTTGAACGGCGCCGAGGAGGCGATGTTCAGTAATAAGGCGAACATATTCGTGCTTGTTGTCCTCGGTCACTGGGATGTTGCGGCCATTCTCGATAAGGTCGACTGTTTGCATTTCGCCAAAAGCTTCCACTTCCACTGAGAAGGTTTCCGTAATGATGTCCGTAATTTCGTTATGGATCATCCACTCAAGTGACTTGTAATACTCAAGATCGAGCGTCTCCATGTCCTTGAGGCTGACTTGCTTGCCCATGATTTGCTTGTAGACAGCGCGGCTGAAATGGCAGTCCAGGACACGGCCTTCATAAAGCGCTTTGCCAATGATACGACCAATAAACTTGAAGAACATCAAATGCTCAGGATTTATGGAGCTCAATCGGTTCGGGTGGAAAGTGGTGCGGTCAGATGCAACAGGTACGAAGAGGGCGTAATCGGGGTTGAACATCTGGCGAGAGATTGACTGGAACCACTCGCGAGTAACACCACCAGCATCGACACCTTCTTCACCGTGGAAGCGAATGCTGAGCTTTCCGTACTTCATTTCATCTGCCGATTTGAAGTAGAGCGACTTGAAAGAATCCAAGAAGACTTGGTCTCGGCGAACAGAGAGTTGCAATGGCGGATGTGCTTGTCGATCGCCACCACGTGAGTGAAGTTTCCGATTGAAGTAGTTGCGCTTATTGTCAAATTCCAGAACCTTGGAGTTCTTCACAAGCAAGGAGAAAGTACCGCTCATCAGCTTAGGGTTTTGCCGGACAAGATCATTCAATATCTTGCGATGTTCCTCTGTAAAGTTGAAGAACAGATTCTCCATCTTGTTCTCAGGCGGCGGGCTGGACAGCGCAAACTCCTTCGCAAGCATCTTAGACAGTGGAGCCTCCTTCAAAGTGGTGTTTTTGCATACAACCATGAGAGATTCGATGAGGGGGAGGAGAGTGGTGGCAATGTTGAGCATGTTGCCGCGTTGACGGATGACGGTAAGGCACTCGCTGAGCTTCTCCCAGAGAGGTGCAAACGCAGCATCCTCGTATAGCGTCAAGAGGATATCTTCTTTTTGAGCTGGCTCCAGCGCCTCTGCGGCAGCTTCAGGCTTGTCCTTGCTATCGCGGGAAGGATCGAAGAGGTAATCAAGTGCGGTCAAGGCTCTGAGCAGCTTCGTCTGGTCGGAGCTTGCAGGAGAGAACTTTGCAAGAGCGATGCCTTGGACGTCAGTAGACGAGCTTGCCTTTGAAATCTGAACTGTCAGGCTATCAAGATCCCGGAGCGTTGAGCTAGCTAGATCTTTTGCGATACCAAGCAGTTCTTGACCAAATATTTCCTTTGCCCCTGGAATAGGCGAGAGGTTGCTGATGACTGACAGAGTCTCCTGGAACACCTTACTATTGCATTCTCGAGCCGCAAGGATCTTGGCTACGAGTCGAAGGTTGGCTTCTGGCACATCCGGTGGTGTCAATGATCTGTGCTTCTTAGTCTTGTCATCTTCAGCCTTCGATCGATCAGGTTTGGAAGCGCCTTCCTCAGTAGCTCCAGAGTCGGGTGCAGCTGTCATCTCAGTATCTTGGCCTTGAGCAGCGCCCGTAGATGTAGCTTCGGTTGACTGGTTCTCGGCGTTTTGGCCTTCTGCAGAACTCTCGCTGGCTTTCTTCGCTTCTTCAGCAGCCTTCTCTTTCTCTTTCTTAAGGGCTTGCAATGGAGCCGTGATGACCTTGAGTAGCGTGGTCAATTGCTCCATGATGGAAGAACTCTCAACAATGAGCTTACGATCCAACAGAGTAAGCAGCGCATTGACAGGGTATTTGTTTGCTTTGCTCTCTTTCGCCTTGCCCTTGCGATTGGCGCGGTTCTTGAAGCCAACACCAGTCTCGTGTTCAGTCAAGAAGAAAGACCAGACAGCAGGATTCTTCTCGGTCAGCTGAGTGAGGGTGTTGAGGCACTGCTGAACGACCATGAGTGGAGAGACGTCGGCATTGATGGATAAAGCGCCATTCTTGCGAGAGAGCTTCGGTGTCTTTTCCGCAGGTTGTTGAGGCTGCTTTGCTCGTATCGAAAGCTGAGCAAAGCTGCGTTCAACCGCGTTGACATCGGCGCTGCCATCCTGAAGGATCGACAGCAAAATGCTGATGACTTCTGCACGGTTCTGGCGGTTCTCGCAGACATAGCAAAGAATCGAGCTAAGGCTGGCCTTGGCGCTACCTTGCTGAGGGATGAACATGAGTCGCAGAAGGGTTGCGACGCCGGCTTTGTCGAGCATTTGTACGCAAGGACGGGCCTTCTTCTTTTGATTTGGATCTTCCGGTTGACCGCGGCGGTCGCCACGCCTGTAACCAAATTCATTGAACTGATGGAGACGGCGATCACCTCCCATTGCTCGGGCTTCCGCAGAAAGCTCTGGTGGAAGTTGTCTCAAAGTGTCCTCATCAGTGTCCATGAGAACAGCAGCGCGTAGGTTAGGGTCCAAAGATGCGAAGAAGCTTGCAGTGTCCATCTCCTCCGCCTGAGGAGCGACAGCACTGCTTTGGTTGCGGCGCCGGTTTTCTTCACGCTCACGTCGTCGACGTTCTTGGGCCTCTTGTGCAAGCAGTTCCTCGCGGATCTCCTCTGGCAGAGCTGCTAAGAACTCCTCGTTGATGTCTGTAGGGAGATCACCAGACTGACCGACATCTTGCGATGCTGAACCTCGACCTTGATTTTGAGACTGCAATTGCTGCTGCTGTTGTTGCTGTTGTTGTTGCTGACGAGCTTGAGCTCGTTGTTCTGCTCTGCGCTCAGCTACCTGTTGCATCAAGACCTCTTCTCGCAGCTCCTCTGGCAGAGCCTCGAGGTACTCAGTGTCAATTCCGAGATCGGTGATATCGTACTCGTGGCCTCTGATGGTTGTCATTACCCTTGGTGCAGGTGGTCCAGCAGGTGCTGCAGGGACTGACTCGACAGTCGCTGATTCACCGGAGGTCTGAGCAGCCTGGACGCCTTCCATTGCCTGTTCTCCAGAGGTAGTTCCTGCTTCGTTCTTTGGTTCGCCTTCTGATGTCTGATCTTGAGCACGGCTCGCAGCCTCTGCAGCTTCGCGTTCTCGCCGCTCGCGGTCCTCTTTTTCTTGCGCCTCACGCTTCTCACGTTCCTCGCGCTCCTTCTGCTCCTTCTTTTCCTGCTCTTCCTTCAGCTTACGAGCAACTTCAGCCTCGCGCTCCTCCTGGCGCTTCTTAGCCGCTTCAATCGCAGGCGGAACCATGACTTTGAGGATGGAATTGATAACACGCTGGCTCTTCTCGATGGCAGCAGGCCCATAGAGAATGCGAGCTTCCTCTTGCCAACGTTGGCTTGTGTACGCCTTGACAAATGCTACAGCTGAATGAGGATCTTCACGGGCTGAGCGTGAGTTGTATGTTTCTCGCATACGAGCAATATCGCGACGCATGCTGCTGTCAAAAGTCTGCATGCCCATGGAATTGCCCAATGACACATGCAGTGCACCTCCATGATGAAGCAATGTAGGGCCACCACGACCAGAGCTCATTGCGTTCAATAGATTGCTGATGAAGGAGACGGGGCTGTCAGTTTGGTTGAAGATACGAGGACCGCGGCTCTCGATAGCATGTACCCAGTCGCTGTTGCCCTCATTGCGCGGAAGGCCGTCACGTCCGGTGGAGCGGCCGCCTCGTTGAAGCAAAGGATTGATGCCGTCATCGGTAGCTCGAGGACCGGCTCCTGGTCGATGCGATCGATACGCTGGTACGAGGATGCGATCACCCGGACCAGCGGGGAACATCCATGGGCTAAGACGGTGCGTATGGCGGACAGCAGCGGGTGCTGGGTCTTCCCAACCGCCACCCCAACCCAGTTCTGGTAAGCCTTCCTCATCATCCTCTGCGCCAGGATCGTAATGAATGTCTTCATCATACTCTTCTTCTTCGTCATCTATATCTCATTGGGTTAGCAATCATTTCAAGCATTCTAGAGTTTGGAGAAACGGACCTTCTTCTCCCATCTCATCATCCAAAAAGTCTTCAATATCGCCACCGCCTTGCTGGCGCATTTGCTCCAAAAGCTGCTGAGGAGGATCGATAACGAATCCAATCCCTGGAGGCATACCAGCCTCGCCATTGACACCACCAGGAAAGTCATCCTGCTCATCACTCCACTCATCTTCCTGATCTTCAGCCAGGCTGGCATTCTCATCATCGGCAGTGATTTCTTCCAGTGCATCTTCCATATCCTCCATATCATCGTCGCCCTCATCGTCCATGTCGTCCATATCGTCCATGTCATCTTCGTCATCTTCGTCGTCTTCTTCCGAGTCATCCTCCGAGTCATCATCAGAGTTCATGGCGTTGCCATCGTCGTCGAGCTCGATCTCAACATCGACATCACCAGGAAGGCCTTCGATTGGTCCCATGCCATCAATTTCCATCTCTAGAATCTCTTCATCGTCCTCGGAGACGACATCATCGTCACCAATCTCGGCCTCGTCGTACTCCATGTCATCCGCATAAGGGTCATCATACATCATCTCTTCGCCTTCATCGTCCTCGGAGTCTTCGTCAGATTCAGACTCATGGGGCGGTTCGAACATGCCCAACGTCGAGTTGCGGAAAAGATCGGGCGTCTCCTCACGTATGTTCTCGACAAGATCGTCGTCCGAGGCGGTCGAAATTTCGTACTCGTCGCCAGAATCCGGTGTTGATGAAGTGTCGTAGTGCATACTCAGATCCATAGCGACATAGCATAGCCATCTCAAGGGCTTGAGGATATACTTGACTACACGTTTAGCATTGGGGAAGTTGAGATCAATGTCTGAGATCGCTGTAGTGAGAATGGTGATGAAGTTTTTCTCATACATGATCTTGCCCATTTGTTTGAGATTTGGCGTCAGATCTGCGTTTTGGGTAAGCATCTCGCCATTCGGACGCTGTGACACCATCCTAGAAAATATGTCGGCGATGCTGAGCAGCCTCGAGTACTTCATGTCCAATGGCTCATCAGAGGCGTTCGCGTCTTTGAAAGCCTTCAAAGCATGCTCAAGCACGAATTTGCGTACAAAGAGTAGGTCCGGCTCAGTCTCTGCGTATGGGGACAATGGCACGTCAGTCTTGGGTAGAGTGTGCTCTCCTGTCTTGTTGCACAATGAGACGATAACATCGATCGCGCAATTAGATGTCGCCAGTTTCTTCTTAAAAGAGAGATCCCCCTCGTGATTCAGAGTACCGATTGGAACTAGATTGTTGAGAAGGTAATTGAGCACACCAGAGCGCGGCTTCGAAGGCGTTACAGTGTAAGGGTCAGCCTTTCTGGAGAAATTGATGAACTCAATCTTCGTGCGGTTGTAACTCTGGAGAAGCTCAGCGAGACACTTCAAGATGAAGCAGCGATAAATGTAGATTGGGTGCGAGTCGGCCTTGAACACAGGTTTCTCGGTTTTGGCAGGCTCCGTGGATGCTGTAGTAGATGCAGCCGCTGCATCTGAGCTCGATTCAGTTGTGCCTGGCTCTCCAGATGCTGTCTCTGTAGGCTTAGGAGGCTCAGGCTTGTCTTCAGCCTCCTTGTAGGCCAATAGCTCACACAGAAGGTAGTGTATGACGCCATCGGGATTCTCAACAACCGGTACCTTCAAATCGGAGGTCTTTGTGCGCTCGAGGAATGGCTGCTTGGGCGCCTCACTAGATTCCTTGGGTTTGTCTGCCTCAGCAACGACATCAGATGTTTCTGCAGTATTTGCTGGCTCCGTTGAAGTTGTTTCGACCTTCTTCAAAACAAGGGTCTGCGGTCGCTGGTTCGGATCGAAGCGGGCTAATTGGAGCTTCTCGTTTGTGACTTCAACAAAGATTTCGGGTGCGCGAATGGCCAGTGCATACATTTGACGCGTATATCCAGTCGTGTCCGTCTGCCTACGATCACGCGACTCGAACATTTGCTGAATCTCAGTACGCATGATTTGACGAATCATCTCGTCGTCCTCAATCATGTGGCGTAAGACAATCATAAAAGCGCTACGCAGGCCCTCATTAGAGATACCCGCCAGCTGCTTGACCATGAGGAATAGTCGTTGGACGTTTCGCTTCTCCGCAAGGCGTGTGGCAATCTTGCGTGTGCGTGTGAGCATAGCCAATACTCGCGTGACTGATAGAGCTAGTGATTCATCTTTGCCGATTCGAGGCAGCATCTCGATTATGGCGCCGAACAGTTGGTCCTTCTCTTCAACTGTCACGATTGGCTCTGGTAGCTCATCGACAGATGTTGACTCCTGGGTTTCCTCTGTGGGCGGAGTCCATGTGATCTGACGTGGAAGTTGGTCCTCGGCTAGCAATCGCTCGATGATGAGCAAAACTTGTCCAATCCAAGGCGAAGAGTCTTCGGCGGACTGATCAGGGAAGATCTTGAGGAAGCCCAATAGTGTAGTGAAGTTGTCTTTGAGCTCTCCGACAACAACATCGTAAAAGTCCTTCTCTTGGAGGACTAGAGCCAGTAGATGAGCTGAAGCTGCGATCTTCTTGCTCTGCGTACGGAAGTCGTCTTCGCTCTGTAGTGATATAAGAGACTGGACCAACGTAGTACCGATCTCCGTACGCATTGATTCTGGCTCTGGCGCTTTGAGAACGGCGGCAGAGATGAGGTCTGCAAGCTCGAATGTGACATCCTCATGTGAGTTGAGTACATCGAGAGATCGGTCAACGAGATTCTGGCGAAGTTTAGATCTCTGCTCGTCGAGCTGGTCTAGGGCCACAGGTTCTGTCAAATTTCCAATGGCCATGCGCTTCTGATAAGCCAATGCGTCTTGCGGCGCAGTAGTGGGTTGGCTGGGCTGTTCAGCAGGTACAGGTGTAGCAGATGTAGGGGCTTCAGATTCTGTAGCAGCCGAAGTATCCGCATCTTCCATTTGAACCGACTGTGTCTCTGGCTCTTGGGGCTCGTCCTCGTCGCGGGTGATCTCGCTCGATGTCATGCTAGCATCATCAGTATGTTCTGGCACCACAACTTCAGCCCGGCTAGGAGATGAAGATGGTGGGCCTCGTGCTTGAATCTCATACTGCGGTATCGGGTTTCTCGAGACGCTGAGACGCCCTTGATTCCGGCAATATTCGTTAGCCATGTTGTAGTTATCACAGCAGCGATATAGTGCCTCCTCAGCAAGGCTTTCCTCATAGCCATTGTCTTTCAAACGCATCAAGTGTTCTCCATTTCGGGCAGACCATGGCTTGATTATGGGCTTACTGCGCTTTGGGATCTTGTCGATGCTCTTGTAAGCTCCGTGCTCGCCATCGCATTCAAGAACAGACTTGAGGATGTTGACCGATGTCTTGACAATGGAACTCGTGGCCTTGTCGATGAGATTCGAGTTCCAAATCTTCTCCACAGGCTTGATCACAGCAAAACGCAACTCAACGAGGAACTGTGCAGTTAGAAAGTAATCTGATCGCTCCCTGTCGCGATCTGGTCTGGTCTGCATCGATGAGGTCTGCGGCGATTCTCCAATGACCTTGTAGTTGATGATTTGAGAGAAAAAGGCAAGAATGATCTTGATACCACCAAGCGAAAGATTGAGCAAACGCTTCATCTCCTCACTAGTATCTTCGCTCTGCTTTTGCGTAATTTCAAGTGCTGATTCGTAGAACTGGTTGAGAATGTTGGCCAGAACATCGAATCCGCCAAGATTGCGGAACGACACGAGCAGCAAAGTCAACGCTTGCGGTCGGTCTAGATTCGGCTCGATGATGAGTTGCGATAGTGATGTGAGTATGACAATCCAGTATGCATAGCGATCTTCAATGTTGTCTGATTCCTTTGGGCCCTCGTACTCAAGCTGATCGATGACTGCTTGAGCAAGTTGGTCTGCGACGACTGTGGCACATTGTCTCTGGTATGCCTCCAGACTGCGGCGGAACAAGAGAAGTTTGCCTAGCGATTGGAAGAAAGGCGCAATTTCTGTGGGTATCTTGCTAAGTAAGTTTCGGAGAGTTTGCGTATTCTTGAATCGTGCACTGTTGTGGCTCAAGGTAGGATTCTCGGCAGTAGCTCCAGCAGTGGCAGGGGCAGTCTCTGCATTACTAGGCGATTCAGTTGCGCTGTTACCGATGCGGAAAACATGGTCAGCTTCATCGTTACCGAAGCCAGAGCTAGCGACACGAGTTTCTTTCTCCCACTCGGTAGGCATATTGCGTTGAAGGAGAAGCTCCTCCCAAACACAGCTACGATGAAGCTTTCCAAGACTATCAACTAAGCGTGCGTACATATCGGCAAGGTTGACCTGACTTGACACATTGTGGGCCGAACGCGTACTGTACATCTGGCTCTGGAAAGTCAGAGTCATGGCGCCGACAAGGGTATGCGCGGACACCAGTGCTTTGACGTACTGGGTGCCTCGTTGCAGGTGCTCATTATCCGGGGAATTGCTTGAACTCGTGAATGGCACAAAGAATGCTTGCTTGCCGGTGTGATCAAGAAGAGGCTGTAAACGTTCCAGGGCCTGTTGTGTGCGCCTGATCAGGGAGGGAACAGCAATGTGCGGCTTCTGTTCGACGAGAACCTGTACAACGTGGCCAAACTGCTCACACATACTGCGGTTTTCACTCGACTTCGGGTCTAGACAAGCAAGGTTAGAGATGTCAAGAATGGAATCGACGCCGTCAAGTTCGATATAAGCAGCGCACATGGCATGGTTCGAGAAGAAGCCAGACAGAAACCTGCAAAGCACGCGAATGTACTGGCCTGTTGTGGGACCTTTGGAGCTATCCTCGGTCTCTGTAACTTGATCAAAGGCAACCACTTCATTAGGTGTTTCGTCGGCATCCTTCATCTCGACATCGGTACCAGTCGACCCAGAGGTTCTCTGCGGTCCTGAGCCAGATAGAGCTTGGCGGCCGCCGGCTACAAGAAGCTTCCCGTTGGCATCTTCGGTCCATAGTTTAGCCCCTACGCCCTCTTTCTCGGCTTTGCTGGCGCACAGTTGGACAACACGAGCAATCAACTCGCTGAGACACGAAAGGACTCGACCTTTCAGTGGCGGATGATGACGCACGAGCTCATCGAAAGAGTTACCAATCATAGTAGGCATCTCTGCGTCGGCATCGAGTGCCTTGACGTGGGCAGGACTTTCAAAGATCTCGAAGAAGCGCTCAAGAGCAGTCGAAGATTGAAAGAGTTTCATACCAGCTTCCGCCAGGCAAATAGCGTCAAAGGCTTGTGGAAGAGTCGATATGGCTTCAGCAACAGGCAAGATACCCTTCGCAAGTGGCTTTTCAGCTTCCTGCGGAGGGCGAGATGTCGACGTTGCAGCATTTTCATTGGCATTTGCTGCAGCTGTTGATTCCGAAGCGGGCTCTCCAGCCACAGTCTCCAGAAACGCCTCACTGAGACCTGCTTCGGCTATGACCTGGTAACTGGTGGGCTCGTTGTGAATGAAATTAGCGAGAATGGTAACAGCCATGCTCCAAACCGTTGAGCCGAAAATCTTTGCATTCGACAGCACAGTGCGTAGGCTACTCAGCAGCTGCGGTGAGTCAATCAAATTCCGCATCAAGCGGTCGAAGTTTCCGCCTGTGTGCGTCATCATGTGGTTAAGGAACTTGAACAACCAGCGTAGACTCTGTTGATGATAGAAGGGAATTTGATAATCAGTAAGCTGTGTCTTGTACTCCTTGGGCATGCCCTTGTCTTCCTCAGCAAGCTTCTTGGAGACGTCGACTTCGTATTGCATGAGGTCAGCAATAATTTCTAGTCCCTTTGCAGCCACAAGAGCAGAGAAGGCGTCGCGCAAATTGTACACAAATGTGTCAAGGAAGTTTAGAATCTTGGGGTGGTTACGCTCAGCCTTTGCTGTACGAAGCTTGAGAACATCGACGAGAATTTCCAAGAGTCCTGCAGCTACCATCTGCTCACCAGTGCGTGTTTGAGAGGTGGGTAGAGTATTCAAAAGAGAAAAGAGGGCATCGCGCCACGCATCCTCCTCCAGATCGTCGGGGTCACCAGTCTCCTCGCCAAGTCCTGCGACTAGCTTGCGAACGACATAGAACAGTACACCGTGGTTGACATTAACGTTGAGGGCAGCGCATATATCAGCAGCTTTCGACTTGTGTTTGGCAAGAGCCTCAAGAGCATTCATGGTGAAGGTTTGAAGCTCGAGCGAGAGGCCGCCCTGGCCATTGCTCGGTGGGTGGACTAGTTCGGAGAGCTGGTGTGCCAGTTGTAGCCTGCGTGGCTCGTCTGCATCCTGCTGGCCCAACTTGGCCATGAATTCCTTCTCGATGTGCACGTAGCCTATGTTGGCAATGGACAAGAGGCGGATAGCGACTGCGTCATCACGTCCGGCAGCACCATTGTTGAACAACTTGGCAATCCGCAATTTGTGTAGAAATTCATAGTGCACACTTTCGGGCAGACTCTCAAGCCCTTCTTTGATGAGGTCGTGTATATCGCCTTTGGCAACCTTGTCGACTGAGAACTCAAATGTCTTGGGTCCATTTGTTTTACTACTGGGCTGCCCTGGGGTGAAGACTGGGGTATTTGGTGATTCAGCAGGAGCTACAGGTTGAGGCTGTCGTGGAGTCCGGTTCGGGCCCATACTTGACGTTCTTCGTACTGGTGTTGGCGTCGTGGGGGCAGATGCAGGCGTCTCAGTGGTCGCCGGCTTGCTGCTGCCTTCTTCGGTCGCGGGCGCCGGCTCATAGTACGAGATGAGCACACCACCAAATTCTTGCTTCATCGCCGCATCCGACAAAGAGTACATGCCAACCAGGTCGGACGGGCTGACCCTATCAGCGCCGCCCGCGCGGTCTTTCCCTCTGCCCGCCGGCGTACCAAAGACGGGGGCTGGCGCAGTGGGGCCCTTTGCAAAGGGACTTGATAGCTTCTGAACTTTGTCCAAGTTGATATTGTAGTGGCTGGAGAGGGCAGACGGGTGCAGCGTGGCAGGTGCGTGGCGCATACGGGCAGCAGCATAGCGTTGGGCCAGGCGATGGCCGAGGCGAAGCGTCGCCTTAAGGAGAGAGGTGCTTGTCGTGTTGAGCAGCTTGTCGAGACGCTCGCTACTCGAATACAGGCTGCGATTGCCGCAGTTTTCCAGCAGCATGCGGGTGAAATTGAGTATTTGCTCGATCAGCTCACGGTCGCCATCCTGCGAGAGGTGCAGGGTATCGAGAACAGCTTCCGTGGTAGTCTGGTCGGAGGCAGTGCTGCCTTGGTCAGCGTCGCCCTTGAGCAAGAGCCGGCGCTGGAACGGCTGTGTCTGGGGGCCATCAACAAGGCCATATTCCTTGTTGAAGAGGTCGAGGATGTGGTCGAAGCGGTCCAGTGCGGGGATCCAGTGGTATGCATCGCCGCGGGGGAAGGGCCAATGCTTGGGGAACGAGGCCAGGTGTGCAGGCAGCTGGTAGAGCGGTATTGACTCAGTCGCCTTGACGAAATCCGCGATCATGGACGACAGAGTCGACTCATGTCGCGAGGTGGCCTGTTTCTTGATCTTCATGTTTGCGCCGGGCGCTCGGAAGAGGAAGCCTCCTCACATGCAAGCTTGCGGCAGGCGGTGTCTGGCAGGTGGGTGGTGGTGAGTGGAGAGGGCGCGACAGGCAGTCCGACTGGATATGCGTGGCGGTGGAAAGGATGCGTGTCGGGAAATCAGTCAATCCGTCCGCCTGTCCGTCTGTCCGTCTGTGGTGCGGCGGGCTGCGAATGCCCTTGTTGAGCGGGAGCGCAGAAAGGCAGAGTAGCTGCGACGAGTGGGGAGCGAAAAGCGGGGTCGTGATTCGTGATGTCGTCGGTCGCCTTGGGCAGGCAAGGGCGTGTGGACAGGTCAAGGCAGTGGGCGGGCGGCTTTGTAGGAAAAGAAGCGTGAGCGGGCAGGCCTGCTGCTGGATACCACGGTGCAGGCGTGGATCTAGTGCAGCGGGAGCAGAAGTCTCTTGGCGGGGGATGCGCAAAGACTGCTGGTCAGGCGCCTGTGTGCTGGTGGACAGCGTGGGTGAGAGAGGTGGATAGAGACGGAGAGATGGTGAAGTGCTTCTTGAAGCTTTAGCTACTGGCGGCCGCCAGCAAAGTAATAGTGCCATAGCAGTTTCCGCTCCCTTGTAGCCCGCCCGAGCCCCCCACTGATCCGAGCGTGCATCGTCCCACAACAACTCCCTGCCCTCCGTGACCATCTAGAGACGGCCATGCTCGTCCGGACCTGTAGATGCCTATGGAAAATACTTGAAGAGTTCTTGCCTGGCCAGCGACCATCGCCAGCGACTACGCCTCCAAAGCGACCACGGCTTCACACTACAATCAAAGAACCCCACATCACCACCCCAACCTGGCCATGACGACATTCGGACATAACACAAAGCTACTATTGCACCATCCATGACTCCATAGCCAAAAAAACGACAACATGTATGTGCCTCAGTAGAAGTGATAGCCAGCAGGTGCATGAAAGCCCTGCCGGCCCACCTGCAACATTTCCTCCCATCTCTCATCAGGGTGCCCGTGCATGATACGTGAGTACCACCGTCCTATGCCTACCACCTGCGCGTCCCGCTTGCAGACTCCTCCCGCCCATCGCCCCCTTCTCCATCAACTAGCCTCATCGTCTCTTCTAGCACCAGCAAGTCTCGCTCAATCATCTCTGCCCAGTTCTGTATATCGCCCACCTCGTTCAGTTTCTTGGTGCCTCCCTGCAGCAGCTTATCCCACTCGGCCCGCTGTTTAGCCAGCGCCGCTGTCTGCTTTGCCAGTTCCTTCTCCTGCTTAGCTATGGCTGCCGAGTTGGCATGTAGGTCCGCTGTTCGCGTGCGCATCTCGTTGTCGACAGACGCGCCTACAGACGCCAAAGATGCTGTGACGGCAGCGCGCGCTTCCGCCTGCCGGCGAGCTGTCTCTTCTGACGACGCGCCCGGGGAAGACATGTTGACACTTTGTGGGGCAGTCCCCGAGACGGACTGCTGGGTGCTGCTCATATTTGAAGCGATAAACGGACGGTATAGGCTGCGGCTAGCTCAGTGTAAAGTAGTGTAAGTGTAGTGCCGCTTGACGTGGGTGGCCGGGCAACAAGCGCAGTCTGTGGTACACCTGTCGACAGGAAACTCGCTACTCTTTGTCCGCCGTATGAACGCCAACATGTCTGCAGAGCTAGTAGACACGTGCGACAAGCCTCATACCCTGACACCATCACCCAGCCATTAGGGGGCTATCAGATGCGGGGTAGTGATCAGCCATTGGCAATGTTAACGTATGGCAAGACTATGAGCCTGTGGTACAGCGCCATTGGTGCTGATCACATGTGTTCCAGTCTTTGTTCATTGTACAATACGGCTCGATGGAGAGTCGTGGTGGCTGCAAGTACACTATCAAGGTAGAGGTGGAGAGGGGTCAAGAGCAGGGGTCGGGAAACACCAAGGGCTTATCGATTACTGGGGTACAAACATCGTGGTCAGTAGACCAATCAGCAAGTTCCATCTCACCCAAGACTTCATCTTGAGTATTTTCAGACGTAAAACGGTGGATTCGTAAGTTATGAAGAGGCTAACGGCAGAAGAAAAGAAAAGAAATATGTTCATCAAATATCAAATGACAGTGTGACCCAGTCACAGCAGTGTCTCCGACCCATGCAGTCGATCAGCAACAGCAAGCCTAGGCGACAATCGCCTTTGCAACACGCTTGACAGTATCGGCCACAACCGCTGCAGCATTCTCCGCCTCGCGCTTCGCATTCCTCGCCTTGATCTTAGCCTGAGCACCCTTGATCTGTTGCACCAGAAAATTCACTCCCTCATCGGCCCGGAGACCGTACGTCAAGTGCGCAGGCAACACGGCCAGGGTACCAACGCAAACAGCATCACCAGGCTGGCAGATGATCTTGACCTTGTCCTTTGGGAAGTCAGGAATCTGGTTGCGATCCTGGAGCTTTTGTGTGTCGCCGTAGAGCACCACACCAGCGATCTGGTCCTTGACGCCCGCATCAAGCTCTTCGATAGCGCGGTGGTTGACCGCTGCGCCCTGGCTGTAACCCGAAGACACAATGACGGAATCCGGGCACTTTGAAGCCATGGAGGTGAGCGTCGACTTGAGGAGCTCCTTGGATCGGCTATCAGTGCCACCAGGAAGTGCGTTGGTGCCGAGTGCAGCAGCATAAGGGATGCCCTCAGTAGCAACGTTGTCTTTTCCAAATGCCTTCTTCAGGCCATCCGAGGTAGGCGGTCCGACAACAGTTCCCTGATTGTGTTAGTAGTGCTAAATTACTATTTGACTGGGCTTACATACCATGTTGCCAATTTCCGTTGAGCCACGAGTAAAAGCAAAGAGAACTGGTTTGCAACCGCCTTGGCTGAACTCGCTCGCACTGCTGCCAGTACCTCCAAAGAGTTGGCGGCTTTCAATAGGACCGGCTGCTGCAATGCCAGCGAGGGCAGCAATGAGAATGGATTTGGTGTACATTTTCTCGATCGAAAAAAAAAGGTTGACTGGGGTTGAAAGTTGGCTCTTTGAAGTAAAGATGGAAGCGAAAGACAAGACAAATCAAGAAATCACACGAAGGGATACGAATGTGAGCACCAGCTCTGCTGTAATGGCCGAACTGTTGATGATGATCAATAGAAGCTGGCGTCCGACCTTCTTATATCTCCAATGCCTTCGGAGGTGATGCCCAGTTCAATCAACCCATGACGATCTTACGGGACGCAAAGGACATCAGTGCCCTTGGCCATGCCGACATGACATGTTCTTAGTCGCAAAGCACACAGAACAGTACCATACAAGGCACCTGCCGGGCAATCTATCCAACGGCACGACGGACTATTGGCTAACCCTGCATGAACACGGTCTTGGGGGGAAAGCCATGGCCATGCAAAAGCCGGCCAAGAGCTTGCCAAGTGCACAGTAGTGATGGAGCACCTGAGTAAGAATAGAAGTCGGGAATACACGAGCCCTGGGCTGCCGATCCCAGCCCTACGCCCCAAGGCTGGTAGCCAGTCACAGAGGTGCAAATACCCGACTACCGAGTACTCAGACCAACGCTCATGCGGCTGGGTTATGCTTTTGTCAAACACCCCCCGTAGAACTTGTAACAGGTCCACTGACTTGCTTGACAACAGACATGGTACATTCTCAGAAAATTGACATGCCTCGGCACCTTAAAGTCTCTACCGTCCATCATTGGCTGCAGATGCGTTTGTCGACGGGCTGCCAATGTAAGAATTTGACAAGACAGGCGGATGTCTGTCTCGGAATGCTCCGAATGGCCTCACATATCCAATGCAGATGTCTTTGTCTGAGGTATCCATCAGGCAGTTTGTCAACATGAGACTTTGGACAAAAACCAAACTTTTTTTCAAAGGGCTGGACAGGTTGTGCAGCATAACCAACAAGTACGAACAAGTTTTTGCATATGAGTATCGTTTGTATTAAGGTGATCGACGTGCTCCCGGGAGCTTCCCGCCAATATGCCGTCCACTATACGGCTAGCGCACAGGGGGGCCACGGGCGTCTTTAGTCGTTTCAGGCCCAGAGCCTGACGCAAGAAGCAACCGACTAGCACCATACCGAAACACTGGCAACGCATACTTTACAGGTTCATCGATGCAGGATAGATGCAGATAGATGGACTTGGGGGTGAGCTGATCGCTGGCGGGTGCTGCTATCAACGGGGTCTGGGTCACATGACCGGGGAAAATGTCTCGACAGCGTGATTTCAGTCGCGTTGCAACGGTGCTTTGGGACCTAATCGAGTCAATCCTATTGCGACCAGTCGGTTTGAACTTTAACATTCTGTTCAGGGCCAAACCACGGCATGGACTTGTGTCAATTGGGACATTCCATCGGCATCGATCGACCCAATACGAATCGCAGCCCACACAAACCCGATTTGGAATTTCAAAGCAACCCGCTTCAATCGCAAACATACGAAAAAGGAGACTCGAAGACTCATGTGGTAACAAGCCCACGACTCGTCTTGCAGCCAATATTCCACCATGCCGACCCCAATGTACGTTTCGAAACATCAAGCATCTTCAAGGGTCCAGCGACCGCATGCGCATCTCCCAATCCGGAATAAGAAGTGCCACACGCGTTTCAATCATGCCAGCTGTTGATCTGTAAACAGGCATCTGCCGTGGTAGGGCAGAATCAAAATGGGGGGATGTCATGTGTCCATCACACGAGTCAAGTTCGCGATGCACGGCACAATACGATACGAACAAGGGGGACTTTGCTTCTCGACCTTTTTTTTCTTCTTCCATCCTAAGGCTGCGCCATGAATGTGTGTTGGGGGAAACCCTTGGTCATGTAAGTACTGTATGCATGGAGCATTCCCTCCTTCCCCTTTCGCGTCTGGAAACCTCGGCCGGAGTTGTGTGGGGACAAGTGGGTAGAGCAATGCCTTCCGGTTGAAGATGGGGGTTGGGTATTAAGGGCTCCCGATGCGCTGTTTGAGATGCCGTCCAAGATTCCGAGTATGGCTTGGCAGTACAATGGTCTTCCTTATCAAGACTCCGGTATTGATAGCACTTGTGCTTGCGGGCTGATTGATTGATAAAAGAACGGGTGGGTTCCCGACGGGGAAGCAAACGCCGCCATCAGAGGGTGGTTCACCACCCATGCGCCGATGACGGGGCATCTTGTAAGGCCGAGCACAAGACCGCAATGATATTGCATGCATATACCTCTAGTATATCTGTAGGATTAAAAAAATGAATTGATCTTGCATAGCCTGGTCAATACTACAACTTTTTCCAAAAATATTTGCTACCGCCCGTATATTTTGAATCCGAAATAACACAACTCACTGTACTACTCTACCTTTAATTCTTACCCTTTTATTTTCCTAGAAAGTATGAACGATCCAATTGCCGACGCAAAAGCCCAAGAGGCAACGCACAACTACGAATTCCGCATCGCAACACCCGACGACATTCCCGCGCTCCAAGAAATGATAGGCGACTCGCTCCGCGCGCTGGGCAAAGGATACTACACGCAAGCCGAGCTCGACGGCTCAATAGGCTACCTCTTCGGCCCCGATTCAGTGTTAATCCACGATCAGTAAGTAAGGCGTTCCACTCGAGTCGTCGCATTGCCCGCATTTTCACAACATGCACACACACACACACACGCCCTATACAATCTACATCCATACCTTCACAAACCACACTATACTTTTACTACTACTACCCTATATCCGAAAAACAAAACTACCCCTCCTTTTGCAACAGCGAACCGACGTGGTAACGTAAAAAAAAAACAACAGAACATACTACATCCTGCACCCAGTCTCTTCGCCGACGACGCTGTGCGCGTGCGGCGGGTGGTCGTTCCGCAAGACACTGTACGGCGGGGACTCTGCGCCCTCTGTGCTGCGGATGCCTGCTCAGCGCGACCCGACGACGGAGCGGGCGAGCATCCGGGCCATCTTCACTGCGCCGGGGTACGCGCGACGCGGCCTTGGTACGATGATGCTGCGGCACTGCGAGCGGGCGGCGGCGGCGGGCAAGCCCGGCGCAACGGCGGGCTTCTCGCGGCTGGAAATGGGCGCCACGCTCAGCGGCGTCGCGCTGTATGAGCGCTGCGGCTACGTCAGGAGTGGCCGCGAGGACGCCGTCACGTGTCCGAATGGAGAGCGCATTCGCATCCTGCACATGACCAAGGATTTGGAGCCTGGGACTGAGCTTGCCCCGTGAGGAAGCGCGGTTTGGCGGGCGTTAGAGAGAATGCGGTTAACGCTGTGGGAGGGGGGAATACTTTACCGTCTTATAAGGGAAAAGGGTAATGCAGCGCGGTTAGGCGTGCGACCTTGACGCCTTGCGACCCTGCGACCGTTTTTTTTCCTGCCAGAGTGTGATCGAGATAAGCGGGTTTTCGGTATTCTCGGGCGCGAACGCATGTGCGCGCACGCGTGCAAGCGGGCGCTTTGAACGGTTTACTACTTGGACGGGGAGGGGGGGGTTTGTTTTCCTTTGTTCAAGGAACTGTTAGATGTTCTATCTTTTTATCTTTTCCTTTCCTTTCCTTTCCCATTCTTTCCCTTCTTTCATCTCTTCTCTTGTCCCCTCTTTTGGTCGCCTTTTTTTGCGAAATGACGCATGGCCCTTTTGATGCGCTGGCAAAAAGAGAATGTTTTAAGTGAGACTTGGGGGGTGAGGGGGATAACGCAAAAGCGTTAGTGGGGATGATGGGGGCCTCGCGGTAAGGCACCCGATGAGGGAAGAAAAGGTGCAAACCGCATTGTTTGGTGGCGTTCCCACCCGACGATGCCCGGAATCTTGATTAGAGATGGAATGTCGTGCTTGTCGAGGTTCCAATTGGCTCTGCTCCCCTTTCCCCCGTCGTTCAACTGAGGTCGAGCACCGAGAGATGGTAAGGATATATTTGTAGGGGGGGCCCTGCATGTTTTCGTCATGTTGTTTGGGACTTCACCGTCTTTTTCCTCTTCCTTTGCAGAGATACTTTAAAAGATACTCTTGTTGCTGCTTTCTCCGCTCTTCTGAAGATACCACTTTTTTGTCTCTTTTGCTGTGTGCAGATATCCAGTCGTTCAGAGTCCTGGGCTCTACAAGATATTCATTCATCAATCATCACCAACATGTCTGACCCCAAAGCCGCCGCATTATCTACTGCTGTTGTCATAATCACCGTGCCCTCGGGCTAGCATATCAGCTACATGGAAGAGGTTCGGACAGTCGTATGCAATGGCAAATATGGCACCATTGTGCAGGGCGTAGTCCCTCTGGAAGAAGAAGGACCTTGAAGGAGTGAGGTGTAAGACTCTAGCCGCAGTAGCGCCGATGGATCGCAACAAACAGATCTGGCGCCCGTCGGGCAGGCGTCTGTGGGAGTGAAATACAATCTAGCATTTTATGTACCACGGTGTTTCCGGATAATAGCTTTGGGTGCAAGCCACTACCAGTCCTGGGTGTGTGGGGAGCGGAGACTTGAATTGAACATTGATAATATCGGCAAAAGCGCAGTTCTCAGGCGTGGTGAAAGGATAAGATCAAAAATCAGTCCAGTTGTATGGGGTATTTGAAAGACACTGTGAAAGAAAGACGGTGTGTAGGGTTAGTGGAACTGAGGAAGCGGGATTGCGAAGGAAGTACGCTAACACGGCAACGGCTATGGCACATGGATGGTTTTGAGAAAGAGCGGAAAAGACATCACATGACCAGTTGAAACGCAGAAGAGGTTGCCTCATTCGTGCTATAGGGGGAATGTATTGGAAAGCTCAAGGTACCAGAAAGGAGCAAGATCAAGGCCCTGGACTTATTCAGTCTGAATAGAGGAACTCGCCGCCATCGCCATCAATAGTCTGTCCTGATTCCACAATCCGAATATCATGATAGAAGCAATTGAACATAACAAAACGCCTTCTTGCTAAACCACGAATCCCTACCGTCCGTTTCTCCAAAGCAAGAAGTGTGGTATCAAATACCGTTGAATATCGTGCTGTCAAGCCCCACAAGTCGAAAATTGGAAGGAGATTGAACATTTAATCCTTGGGCTGTGTCGCAAGATTATAGGAAGTTCATTCAGGGTGGAAGGGAAATTATGGTACAATGCAAATGCCAAACGTAAGACGAGGGTTTACAGCAAACTCGTTTGAATGTCTCAAGTCCGATAGATATGGTGCAAAGCATTCGCTCCTGAAAGTCCTATGAAGGGGAAACGAAGCTGGACACAGGTCAGTTGATGACAATTGTCATGACTGGTGTTCAAACCGATGGGTAGGCACGAACCGAATCGGTGCGTAACCAGAATTCTGATCAAGACGAAAGAGAGCCTGTGGACCGTGACTTTGGCAGTCAAGGGTATGCAAATGCAGATCATAGCAGCAGATCAACATCTTTGAAAGCTTCCACAAATGTTCAGGATTCCAAGAGGGCGTCCATTTCTTTCTCTAGCTCTTTGCTCCAGAGGTACTCATGGTCAGGCTCAATGTCAGGGTCGACAGGGAGGTAGACATCCTCCATAGTTGGGATCTGGCAGACCTGGTCCATGGGGTACTGCTCAATGGCAGGGAGTTGGCTCCATGTGAGGCTGGGAGGACCTGGCTCGCGGGGCAAGGGGAGGAAGCGGCCAACGCCTGTCTTGGCCCGATCGTCACCCTCCCATCTCATCTCAGAGAAGGAAGGCCAGGGTGCAACGTCTTCCTTTCCGTTCTGCCAATCCCTGCACCATATCGTCTGCTCTCCGAGGGCACGACCAGAGTTGCCAACTTCGTCAAAGTTACCGTTAAGACCGCAACGACGCAAAAAGGCCTGAGTTTCGGGAGAAATGGCTGAGGAATACTCTCCAGCTTCCTCCTTCGCCTTGGCTTGATGAACGAGCTTGTTGGCTTCTGACGCATTAATTGCTTCGCGATGTGCAACATAGTCGCTGAACTTCCACTTGGCTACATCTGAGTTCTTGAACTGACGGCGCATCGAGTTGCGAACCGTGAGAAAGTCTTGGTGCATCTGAGCATCGGGACCCAGTGGTAGGTTGGGGTTGCGGAAACCTGCAGAACCACCTCTGCCGGCGTGCGCAGCGCCTTGTCGGTGATGGCTGTGAAAACCACGTCCAGAAAGACCGTACCTGTTGGCGTTGGGATACCTTGGACCACGTGGGATAGCATGGTTGTGACCCACTCCGTGGCCTTGGCGGGAGCGAGGATGTTCGTCTGTGATGGTCAGGTTCTTCAGGCTAAGAGTCTCTGGGCTTGCCGGATTACTGAGAGGATGGCTGTGGCCGGTTGCGCTGCGTTGGCGGGAGCGGGGATGTTCATCTGTAATACTCAGGCCTTCCAAATTGAAACTCCCTGGGCTTCCAGAGCCGCTGAGAATTGCCTCATCATCTTGGTTGGAGTAGGAATCCCAAGCCTCGTTATCATGAAGGGTGTCACCGCTTCCCGTATACGGCGGTAAGGCCATTTGGGGTTTGTTGAAGTCGAACGGTAAATGCTTTTCGATTTTGCCTGACCTCTCGCCCTTTACAGGATTGACAGAGTCTGCCATTGGATAGGAGTTTTTAAGCTTAGATGTCGCTAGTGATGCACTGCTTTCAAAAGAGATCTCTAATATCGTCAAACTTTACGCAACTGTTGGACAATGTAAGAGTTGAGTGGGTTGGGAAAGAAGAGAAGTCGTAGGCCGATCTGTGGTATTCAAATACTCTCACAAACTACTGACAGTGAATACTGTGGCGGTGAGGTAATGTCAGAACACACGATACGCACTGTAACCGTTCTCGTGGGTGGTTAGCTTTCATTCATTTACTTTACAGTGAAATCATAGCAAATGCTTCACCGCCTAGCAAGTTCTAGGCAATGTGAGCATGCTGCCCAAACATGTGATGTATATTCTGACAGCGAACAAGACACTCCTCCCACGCTCAAACGCGCCAGTGGGCAATGAAGTGAGTTGTCACCGCCTTCGGCCATTGGGAAGAGCTATGGTAAATTGCAATGTCACCCCTATCACATACCTGAGAGTCCGGGCCTCACAAAAGTAGGGAAAATCCTAAAAGTGGAAGATGATGAGTGGATGCTGGTATTCTTGTGAAGTCGATCGCTGCCTGATGTCAATAACTGTTTTCACTGGGTTTGCTTAGCAAGAACTGTGGGCGATGAGTCAAAGATACGCCGTGTGCGTGTGTGGATTTGGATTGTAATGTTTCCAGTCGCGGCTTGTGGCAGCGGTCACGAGAGTAGGGTATGAATATGCCTGCTTGATGGGTGGTGTATCTAGCGGTGCGTCTATGGGCGTTGAGAGCGATGCGGGCGATGAGAGCGATGGTCTTACGACCGACGCAGTCAGTAAGGAGATTGGGGTTGGTTATGGCTTGCGAAACTGAATGAGAGTCAAGAAGGTCTCCTGGCGCACCCAAAAGACTCAAATTCAGAGACTTGACGATGGGGTTTCAACGACTGGCGGATGAGAAGCGTGGATGGAACTGAAGATGAGCATCAGGCGGTAGGAAAAAGTGATGTCGCCACAGAGCGAGCAGTCTGTAAGAGCAGGCAACGAAGGTGAAGGCCAGAGTGCTGCAGAACAGACCAGAAAGACGCGAGTTAAAAAACTTCGACCTGAGTTCACCTCGCCCCCTCTCACTACTCACCTGTCACCTTGCATGATGAGTCGGGAGAAGGAAAAAAGAAGGATAACGACCAGCGCTATGGACTAGGGTGACCAACACAGTGAGACTGGTGAGTGTAGACAAAACAGGGCGCGCTTGAACACTGAATATTGAGGAGCAGAAGAGATGGCTGGTAGAGAAGCGAGAAGATGCAATCTACGTGTCACGGAGAGTGTGGATACGGCGAATGTGTAGACAGGCAGGCAGGCAGACATATCGTAGAAAGCGAGCGAGAGCGGTTCCGCGGTGCTAGGCAGGCTAGCAGGCGTCGGTAGACACGGTGCAGGCCAAGAGGGTATACAAGACACGAGAGATGAGGTTGGAAGCAGAGCGGCGCCATGTCTGAGGCTCTGTGTGCGCCAAGGCGTTGATTGGGCAGGAGCGATGCATGGCCGCGCACGGGGCCGCCCCTTCCCCACGAGAGCGCTACGCCGCAGCCACGCATGAACAGGCGAGTGTTGGATGCGAAGCCATGGTCGTGTATTTGCGGCCTTGGGTCGGGCAGCGCAGGCGCCTGCTTCTTCTCGAATCAATGCCGGGGGCTATTTCGAGCATCAGCGGAGCACCAGCGGAGCACCAGCGGAGCACAGAGGGTCGGTTCGAGCAGGCCATGAGGAACATGCTGGGGGTTGAGGCAGAAGGGTCGACATGGCCGACGGTGGTATGACGTCTTGTGCGGTGCACCACGCAGAAAACAGGGCATAGCGGCGCCACAGGCCAGGCCCTCGATGCGGTGGCCATGCGGCGACAGGACAAAATGGCGGCGCCGCCCATCTCTGCCGTGCTTCGAGCACCTCCTCTGCCACCGACCGACACCCAGAGGTCGTGTTTCCCTTGCGCTCGACAAGACGCTCGTCGCCGTGCGCTGGCCGCCAACACCAACAAGCAGGAGGGCGTGGCGTCTGTCTGCCCCTCGTCCCGGCCACCGTGCGCACGCCCATCCATGAGCGCAAGCCGTGGAGCAAACGACAACACCCCAGCCGACAAGTCACGACAGCCACTCGAGCCCCAAACAGCTCACGCCGCCAGACACGGCTGTTCTAGCGCCTTGTTTCGAGCCCTCGCCAGCCCGGCCAGCGGGCTCGCAAACGACTGGCCGGCAGTGGCTTGCTCCACTTCTGCGGGCGCCTATTCGGGCCACCGCCCTACCGACAAGGGCTGCTTCTAACTTGAGCCTCAGCAGCCTGTATGCTCTGCCGAAACATTCTGGTCGAGCAGGCCTCTTCTCGCGGTGCCATTGGTACCCGGTCGGGGGCCTGCTGCTGGTCCTCGCTCTCTCGCGGTACGTCTAGCCTGTTCGTCCTCGTCACTGTCAAGTAGATATTCGTTCGTTCCGTCTCTTTCTGCCAAACCCACATTCACCCCTCACCCGTTCGCCTTCTGTTTCCTTTATTGCATTGTACGGAGCGTTGGTCTTTTTTCTTCTTCTTCTATTGTTCTCTATTGTCTCACATTTCACCACTTCCGCCTAATTCCATTCTCTACCTCGCCACCTACCTGTGGTACATGTCCAAGATTTAGCTGGCCTACATCGACCAAGGCGCTTTTGCCCATCTTGCTCTCCGACCCACCAAGCCACACGAGCCTCTTTCCATTCTAATACCTCAACCAGACCTGCGTTTCGCAGCCATACATGTTCGCTATGGCTTCCTCCGCGAACCAACAGCAACCCTTCCCACCTGTGCCTCCATCAATGTCCGCTGGCGATAGTCATGAGATGCGAGACTACTACCCACCGCAAGATGCACCACGACCTACAATAAACCAAACACCAAACTTCAAACCATACCTCGGCCTTCGAGCTAGGCTCTCCCAGATATGGATCAACCGCTGGACCATTCTCCTGCTCCTCATTCTTGTGCGACTACTCATCGCCGTCGCAAGCACTGACTCAAGCCTCGTTTCCGCCCGTCGGGAAGCCCTCAGTGCTTGCACTCAAGTCGAGAAGATTGGCAGCTCCATAGCCTCGATGCCCCACTACATGTCCTCCGGTCTCAACGAAATGACAGCTTCTGGAGTTGAAAAGGCAGTCAGTGGCCTCATGACGATGCTCGAAATGACAGTCACGGGTGTCGAAGAGATTGTCCTCTTCGTCATTCACATGATGACAAGTACCTATCTCTGCCTCATTACCCTTGCCGTCAGTGGCAGTCTGCACGCCGCTGTCGAAATCAGCGAGGCTGTCACCAAGAAATTGAACGAGACCATCAACTCGGTCACCGAAGACATGGGCGACGCTGTCAAGTCCGTTTCAGACGGCATCAACTCCATCATGGACAAGATCAACTTCAACATTCCGGGATTCGACAAACCGACAATCAACCTGGACGAGCAGATCACACAGCTCAAGGCTCTTGAGCTGCCTCCCGACATGACAGAGGGCCTCAAGAAGCTCAACCAGTCAATCCCTACTTTCACAGAGGTGCAGAACTTTACCGATAACATTATCCGCACGCCTTTTGAGGAAGTCAAGAAGTTGATCAAGGGCATGAACACATTCGAGTTCAACCGATCCGTTCTTCCAGTGCCGCAGAAGGAGGCACTTACCTTCTGCTCTGATGGCAATTCGATCGGCAACTTTTTCGATGATTTAATTGTATTGGCTTACAATGCACGGAAGATCGCTCTCGGTGTGCTCATTGTTGCCGCTGTCCTTGTTTGCGCACCCATGGCTTGGATGGAAATGCGCCGCTACCGGAAGATGCAAGAGCGTGCTGCCCTCTTCGCAGAGGGTCACGAAGGCATGGACGTCGTCTATCTTGCCTCCCGCCCAACTTCGTCCGGCATTGGCCTATGGTTCGGCAGGCGCTTTGGCTCAGCTCGTCGACAAGCTGTCATGCGCTGGGCCTGGGCGTACGCCACCTCCGTCCCTATGCTGTTTCTGCTATCTCTGGGTCTCGCTGGCCTCCTTTCATGCTTCGGTCAATACCTTTTGCTCAAGGCCATCGAGGACAAGACCCCAGAACTCACGGATCAAGTCGCTGACTTTGCCGGAAAAGTTGTCAGCTCGCTCAACAATGCATCCATGGCATGGTCCAACGGTGTTAACAGCGCCGTTGGTAACTTGGATAGCAAAATCAACGACGACATCTCTTCCTGGGTCAACACCAGTACAACTGCAGTCAACGATACTCTGAATGCATTCGTCGACCAAATGAGCACCACGCTCAACGACACGTTCGGAGGCACTGTGCTATACGACCCCATCAAGGAAGTACTCAACTGCTTGATTGGACTGAAGATCGCCAGCTTCCAAAGCGGCCTCACTTGGGTTCAAGAGCATGCGCACGTTCAGTTCCCTGGCGTCGCTAACGATACCTTTTCTCTTGGTGCCCTTGCCGAAAAGGGCGACTCAGACTCGGCCTCCGAACTTCTAGCTGACCCCAGTGGCAAAGCAAAGGATGAGATCACTGAATCTGTTGAGCGCGTTATCGCCAAGCTCATGAGCGGCATTCAAACTGAAGCACTCATCTCCTCCGCCCTAGTTCTAGTCTGGCTTCTTACAGCCATCGGCGGCCTCGTCTACGCCTCAACCCATCTCTTCCGTCGCGACTATTCAGAAACAGGACGCAACCCTTATGCCGTCAACCCTGCCATGGACCACGAGTCCAAGATTGCTGCCGATTACCCTACTACCGCACCACCGCAATACGTGCCCAACGACTACAATGTCAACAAAGCAGCGCCCTATACACTTGCGCCCCGGCCTTTCTCAACATTCGACCAAGAGAGTCGTGTTGAGCCTACAACAGAAAAGGTCGGCCGTGTTGGTGCACATGCGGTGACTGAATCGTCACGACCAGGACACTTGCGTACGAGTAGCCATGGACAACTTGCTGATCCCTCGCCCGCTGACGACCGTGCTGGTCCCTTCTCGAACCAATATGCGCCGTCGCCCTATCCACAGGAAAAGCAGCAGCAGAACCCGTTCATCTAAGATCCGTATTTGTCGAACAACAGTGCCCCAGTCTTGAGCCACCTGACCTTTCGGCTTGCCTTCTGAGTCAACCGGTCCAAGGCTGGATACACTACTAGACAACTATCGACCTGACCGACCTGCGATGAGCCGTAATTGCTCAGACCGAAACTTGCGATTGAAGTTTTCTTCCCCCCTCTCCGTGACGACGCGGAAACGCTCTCCAGAGAAGGGGTTTGGGCACATGTTTTTGCGTTGATGAAGCTTGCTTCTCCGCTCGCATGTGTCGGTGTTTTTGATTTCACATTTTGGTTCTTTTTCTTTCAATATACCCAGCCAACATGTATTTCTTTGTGTTTATTTGTCTTGTGTCACTGCTCTCTCTTGCGGGTTGCGCGTTGGATCGATATCCCCTCATTGCGAAGTTTGACAGCGAAGCTCTGCAGACGACTCTCCCTCCGTCAAACCTGTGTGCAGTCTCCTCCCTCCCGAGACTGCATGTGCGTTGTCTGCAGGTGTCTTTCCATCAAATGATGAGGTTTGTGCATATCTCCTTGAGTATGTCTGTTCCCGAGGTCCCTTACGCCCGATTCTCTGTTCAGCCCTCCTACTTTCTATTTCCCCTTGGCCAACATTGCTACGTCTCGACGCTGCATCACCGCCGCAACGCGCCTCGCCGTGGCTTGCCCGCTTGCCGCGTTGCACAGGTGACCTCTTGGCGTACATGGTGTTGTCGTCCAAGGACGCAATAGAGTAGCGATGTGTGCTGAATATGATCCGGCAATATGTTGGATATGACTCGCTCATTCGCCACGCCTCTCTCTCTCCCATTCAACCCACCGGCCCACTTCTGGAATTTGTATGCTTTGCACCCGCTGTTTGCGGCTGTTGCTGGGGGGAGAAGGGGAGAGGTTGATGTGCTGATTGGTAACAAGCGCTGTGCTTTCCTCCCATTTTCCTTACTTTCAATGTTTTTTTTTTCGAGAGGACCGCATTGGAAGATTGAGAAAATGTGTTGACGTTGAAAGTCGACATTTTTGTGTTTGTTGTACGGGTGGAAGCATCCTCGTCCCTCTGGATGAAGGGTTGGTTTTTGCGTTCTTTTGAACGCCGCCTGAGTTGATCCTGTGAGGCGCTTGCGCCCGGGACTTGTTTATGCATGCGTTTTTTAGGGACGGTGGTGGCGGCGAATGGCCCTTGGATGTGCCCACTCGAGTGGCGTGTCAGTGGGTGTGAAAATGGGGGAGATGATATAGAATGGCAAATGCTCTCCCTCTTCGTGTACTCCAGAGTTTCTGATTGAAGTCACTTTGCACATCACCACACTCGCTCATGCAGCAACACCCACTCTCATTCTGTTCGCAGCTCTACTATGCCCATTAATCGGGCAGAGCACCTTAGTTAGATTAGGTAGAATACCAATACAAGTATCTGGTCTCAAAACTACCCTTCTCTGTTATACTTCCAGATGCTATTCAATCAGCTGTTGGAGGAGCAGTGCCCGTTGTGTGGTATGCTCGAGTGATGTGGCTGCACGTGGCTGGACCCTGGCCAAAGCTCCGTGGCCATGACGATGGACCGCCCAGCTCAGGCGCATGCCGGCACTGCCCATGAAGCTCTCGGTGCGCGCAACAGCAGTCGCATAGCAGCGACAACATCCGGGCCCAATGAATCAGCCCTTGGAATAATAGTCAACATGCTCTCTGCGTTCACTGCCCGGCCTATTGTCGAGCTTAAACAGCGCGACAAGTCCAAGATCGAGTCGATCCTCGCATATGGTAGAGCGTGCCTCAATACAGCATTTGGTCCACTTGGCTAACAATACAAGGCGATCGCGTGCTTGTGGGACTCAATACAGGCTCCTTGCGCATATATCGTGTAAACGACCAGGCCGAAGATGTCGAAGCTGAGCATCAGCAGAACGGCGACCAAAACGGTCAACCGCAGCAGCTCTCGACGCCTAAGCCCAAGCCCGCAGACCTTCTCCGCGAGGAAGAGAAGTTCTCGCGCCGGCCCATACAGCAGCTAGCCATCATCAAGGAAGCCAACATTCTCGTCTCGCTGTCAGACAACTATGTCTCGATCCACGACATCCAAACGTATGCGCTGCAGGAGAAGCTGGAGAAGACACGAGGCGCCACTACGTTTGCTGCGGCTAGCAACATTGTCAAGGATCCATCGACTGGGATCCCGTCGATTGTGAGCCATCTGGCTGTTGCGGTGAAGCGAAAGATTATACTGTGGACATGGCAGGACATGGAGTTGACGGGCGACGCCGTGGAGATATCACTGATTGCGTCAGTCAAGAGCTTGACGTGGGCTACGGGCACCAAAATTGTCGCTGGCATGGACCCCGGCTTCGTCATGGTCGATATCGAGACACAGGAGGTACAAGACATCATCAAGCCAGGTGCACTCGCAGAGAATGGAAGTCAGGGCGGGGCGCGCTTTGGTGCAGTGTCATCTTCGGGCATGGGATACATGGGCATGGGCAGCTGGGTACCGAAGCCTCTGGCAACACGGCTTGGAGAGGGCGAGATGCTGTTGGCTAAGGATGTCAACAGCTTGTTTATTGACACAGATGGCAACGCCCTTGAAAAGCGGCAGGTGCCCTGGCAAACTGCCCCTGAGACTATCGCCTACTCGTACCCATACATGCTTACGCTACAGCCGCCTGCAAAGGGAAGTTTGGAAATCAGGAACCCGGATACACTGAACCTGCTACAACTCATCCCCCTGCCCAACGCCAACTTCCTCCATGTACCCCAACCCAACATTAGTCTGGCACATGCGGGTAAAGGTTTCTTGGTCGCCAGCGACCGATGCATATGGCGAATGGGAGCACAGAGCTATGAGACGCAGATTGATGAACTTGTCGCTAATGGACGCTATGACGAGGCCTTGAGTCTTCTCAATATGCTCGAGGACACGCTGCTTCTGGACAAAGAAGAAAGAATACGGGAGATTCAGATACTCAAGGCACAAGCATTATTTGATCTGAAAAAGTACCGCGAGGCAATGGAGCTCTTCATTGATGCGAAAGCACCGCCGGAGCGTGTCATTGCCCTGTATCCAAGATCGATTGCTGGACATTTGGCGCCGGAGGAGAGCGTCAAGGGCGATGGAAGCGTTACAGAGGAGGATGAAACAAACGGGGAGAAGTCTACAGAGGAATCTGAAGACACTACTGTTCCTGCTGCAGCAACGATTGGACGATCGATGATGGGCCGATTTGGTGTTGGTGGGCATAAGAAGGTCGACTCGGACGCTGGCTCTATCCGGGCTGGCGCTGTCAAGGACGAGGCAGCAGCAGAAAAGGGCAGTATCAAGAAGAGGACAACAGATCCAGCCCAACCCGACAAAGCAGTGTCGGAAAAGGAGTTCAAAGACTCTGTGCGTGCGTTGCAGTCGTTCCTTACACAATGTCGCGTGCAGATTAAGCGCTACATTGACACAGAGGGTAACTTGAAAGAGCCCTTACCTACGCCTAGCGGTAGCCAGTTAGAGGCCGAGAAGCCGCCTTTTCACATTTTCATCGAGGAGACTTCACTACAGGGTCCGGTAGACTGGAAAGCCAAGCTGCTCGAAGTGGCGCAGCTGGTGGACACGACCCTGTTCCGGGCGTACATGATTGCGAATCCCAGTGTAGCAGGCTCGCTGTTCCGTCTACCCAACTTTTGTGAGCCAGACGTTGTTCAGGAAAAACTGTACGAGACAGGCCGGTACGCGGATCTGATTGACTTTTTGCACGGCAAGAAGCTGCATCGACAGGCACTGGAATTGCTGGAGAAGTTTGGCAAGAACGAGGCGGACGAGGAGGTCTCGTCTGCGCTGCAAGGACCACAGCGCACGGTGGGCTATCTACAAGCGTTGCCTCCGGAGCTAATTGATCTCATTCTCGAGTATGCCGAATGGCCGCTGCGGGTGAATCCCGAGCTTGGGATGGAAGTCTTCCTTGCGGATACGGAAAACGCGGAGACGCTGCCGAGAGACCGGGTCCTTGAATTCTTGCAAAAGATTGATCTCAAACTGGCGGTTAGATATCTGGAACATATCATCGAGGAGCTCAACGACCTCAATGTCGACTTTCACCAGCGGCTGGTCGACTTGCTGCTGGAAAGGCTCAAGAGTGGGGATTTTGCCAACGAGGAGGAGAAGGCGGATTGGAGGGAGAGATTGCAGACGTTTTTGAAGAAGGGCAATGCACAGTACAACCGGTATCGTGTGTTCCAGCAACTCCCGGCTAACGGTATGTATTGTGGTTGGGAAATTGATATGGAATGCATAGCGACTGACATGAACTATCAGATGCGGATTACTATGAAGCACGCGCGATTGTGTTGAGCAAGATGGGATCGCACAAGCAAGCATTGGCAATCTATGTATTCCAGTTGAAGGACTACAAGAAAGCCGAGGAGTAAGTCTAGACATGGGACTTGTAAGGGCTACGAAAAGCTAACATGTTTGTAGATACTGCAACCAAGTCTACACAGCACCACCATCATCTCTCCCACCCAACCGCTCACCGCAGATTGGATCACCGCAGATTGGATCAAACATTCAAGGGACGATTGAAGACACTGAGCTGTCCATCTATCACGTGCTCCTATCCCTGTATCTTTCGCCGCCACCTCCGCACCAACCCAACTGGCCTCCTGCCCTGGAACTGCTTTCCAAGCACGGCGCAAGACTGCCAGCAGCGACAACTCTGGATCTGATTCCGCCTAGCCTACCGGTCAAGGATCTGGAGTCATATTTCTTTGGTCGGATCCGCAATGCGAACTCACTTCTCAATGAAGAGCGCATTGTTTCGCGGCTGCGGGGAGTAGAAAAGGTGGCAGTCGAAGCAGCGATGCTACTTGGAAACGACAACAAGACGGACCAGTATGGACGCAAGGTACCGGGTGGACTGAACAGACGAGTGGTGATTGACGAAGATCGACATTGTGCCGTCTGCCACAAGCGGTTTGGCGGAAGTGCGATTCGCGTGTTCCCGGACAACAGCGTGGTGCACAGCGGGTGCATGCGGGGCAGCGTGGGCAAGAGAACGACTGGGGCGGCGGGATGGCGGTGATGGGGCGTGGAAGGGCTGTATGGATAGTACAAAGTATACCCATGAATGGAATAGCAATTGTCTCGTACATGTGCGTGGGGGTGGGCGCTCAGTCGTCGTCGACCACCTCCTCGCCGTACGTCTCCTCGTCCTTTGCATCGTCGGCAGCCTTGTCGTCTGCCATTTTCTGGGTGAGGAAGTCGTTGACGTCTTTTTGCATGCTTTTCAGGGCGGATGCGAGTGCAGCCAGGTAGGCGACGCGGTCGGCAGTCGAGGGCGGTGCAGCCAGGGCGGGGAGGTCGGACGAAAAGGAGTGGGAAGGGGATGTGGGCGAGGCGTAGGCTGCGGTTAGGGCGGGCATGTTTGGTGTCGGGGGGGAGGGGGTGTGGGTGAAGGAGCAGAAGGATGGCAGGGCCAAGGGCGGGGCGTGTGCGAGAGTGCGTCGAGGGCTAGTGGGCCATGGAACAACGGGAGTGTGAATCGACGTCGACTGTTCTGCCCACCCACACCCACCTGCTCTCCCGTCCGCTCGATGCTGCTGGCACACGGCACCGCCTGCATCTGCTACGCTCCCCGTCCCCATGCCGGCCATGCGAGCGCTGGAGTAGGAGCCCCGATTGCCAGGCGCCCTCCCTCGACATCGAGCCGTATAGCATCGATTCGCGCATCCGCATCCACGCCATACGCCGTTGCCGTTACCTGACCCTCCCTGCAAGCCGCAGCAGCCACAGGGTCGCAAAAGCAACCCACCCGCTGCTATCGCCGCCCACCATGCCCTCGTCCTCTCCCCCGCCAGCAACGCCCCTCGTCCGCCGCCCCGTCTCTCTCGACGAGTCCGACTCGGACGGCCCTTACGCGACCCAGCAGCAACAGCAACAACAGCAGCGACGCGCTCCCCTGCCCGCCTCAGTCCTCTCGCCCTCGTCGCTCAAGTCGCCGACATCTACAACAGAGTCGCGCACTGCTGGCCAGCTCCCTGCCCACAACTACTCACGTCCCGCCATTACGCGCGATGCCGCCCCGAGCCAGCCTCACGCTGCCAGCGCGCACCTAGGCCACCGGCCACGCCAGCGCTCCCAGGGCTACTTCGAGCCCAGCCTGAGCTCCATGAAGGAGAGCCCGGTGCGCGAGAGGGATGCTGCCATGGCCCCGCAGAGCCAGCTCACTGCCTCGCAAATCGCTGCCCAGGCCGCATACGCCCAGAATCCCCAGCATTACCGCAAGCGCTCCACCACCATCCCCGCCTCTTCAGACGCCGCGCCCACCGAACGCCCTCAGCCCCAGAGTCCCCCGGCCGCCCCTGCCCAGGGCATGACCTTCCGCACCAATGGCGTCACCTACCCAAACCCCGTCGCGGCCAGCAGAATGACGGCCACCACGGCCGCGAATGCTGCCTTTCCACGAAGCCCGCTGAACTCTCCCGGTGTCGAGGGTTCCCAGGCCCAGGCGCAATCCCAGGCCCATGCCTCGCCCAAGCCCGCGTCGACACCAGACCTGTCCTCGCAGAAGCCAAAGGAAGGCAAGAGCAAGATGAAGCTGTTTTCCTCCAAGCCCAAGAACATCAAGGTCGACAACCGCGGCGAGAGCAAGCACCAGGCCCTACCCTCGCCTGGCAAGATTGGCATTGGTATCCACAGCTCCCAGGCCCTGAACCGCATGATGATGGCCGGCTCGACAACAAGCCTGATTGACTCGACCACAACAAGCGCTAATGCTTCGCTCTACTCGTCGGCCAACGCGTCCACGTCAACTCTTGTTCCTCCGCGAAACGACTCGTTGCCGGAACGAAAAGAGGAAAAGCACAAGCACCATTTCTTGTCGCGGCAAAAACATAAGCTGAAAGATGGAGACAGCTTTGCTCTTCCGCTCTCGTCAGCCAGCAGCAATTCCAAGCCCACTAACCCAAGTGCGCCCGAACCTCTGTATTCGTTCGCAGCGCCCTCGTCGCCAGGACACTCGAGTACATTTGCGAGTTCGGTCACGGGCTTGGATCTAAGGCACGGCGGGCGTCACTTGCGACGAGCAAAGAAGGAAGAAAAGGCGGCGGCATTTTTGGATGCGCAGTTAGACCCGCCGCACAGAGAGCGCAATCAGTCTTTCAGCATAGAAAGATCCGAGTGGCCATTGCTAGCAGGCACCATAACGACGACATCAAGTCTCTCGACCCCTGGACAGGCTCTGTCGCATACATCGGAAATGTCTCATTTGGGGAGCGCATTTGGTATCCACGGTTTATCGCCAGACGATGCGTGGCCATTGTTGAAAGCAAGAGTGTTGTTGATATTTGAAGGCGAAGACCCGCGGCCTCCTGTTGAGGATTTCAACGCCCTCGTCACTGTTCACATTAAGCGCTGTATCCACAAGCGCTCTCCTATTATTCTTATCGAGGATCTCAATGAGCTTCTTCAAACCGGGTTTGGCTCATTGGACCAAACCCTGCGACATGTTCCTGACGATAGGTTGATCCCGCATCTCGTCGAGATGTGGCTTGTTGTATTCACTACCATACTACCTTTTCTCCAGGCTGTTTTTCTCCCTCTGGACATGGAGTTTAGAGGCTCCGGCATCATGACATCGGCCCAAGCGGCCGAATTCTGGGGCGTCATGCTCCCTGACGAAATGAACACCAAGAGCCCAAATCACAAGAATATACCCATACTCGGCGAACTCGAAGTCCGCCGCATGACCCTTCTCATGTTCCGCGATATCGTCATTTTACCGCGCTATGAAGCGCTCATGGCAATCTTTTCACGACTCTCGCTGGAAAACCTAAACGCAGGTCTCGAGTCGCCCTCACCCATACCCCACGATACCCGGCCTGGCACCGCCGGAAGCGCAAACGATGTACAGCTCAGCAGTCTCAATTCTACTAGCCAAAGTAGCGGAGGCTACCTCGAATCAACCACAAGCATCACTTCCTCGACCTTTGCCAGCACCCGCTCGCGCGCAACATCAAACACATCCGCCGGCTCCTTTTCCTCGAATCCCTCACAACATCCCCCAACAGTGGCCCATTTATATCCCCCGCCTACCTCGCATACCCAAAACATGCCCCCAGCAGCGCTCCGCCAGCAGCCCATGGACAGCACAAAAGTCACCGAGACAGTAGGCCGTATGCTCCAGTGTGTTTCTGTGCTCGTCAGCCTGCAGAGTAGCGACGATGCGCAGGAAAAGATTGGGCGGCTGAATAAAGAACTCAAGTATAATTGGCTGGGTAGAGGACGTACAGGACGACAGAGACAAGGGTTTGTGGGGCCGAGGAGTAGAGGTGGGGGTCTCAATTTGGCCGCCGGAAGTGTTAGTGTCCCTGGTGTTGGTGCTTGATTTGTTTTTTTTTCTTCTTCGTTTTTCTTGAATCATTTGTTGTTTTTGGGAGGGTGTGTGTGTGTGATAGAAGGGGGGGAGGGGGTTGTGGGTTAGATTCTGGTAGCGGGCCTGTTCTTGTTTTTTTTTTCTCTTGGTTTAACGGCGCTGTGACTTGGAGTGGGTGGTTTGTATGTGTGTGTGCATGAATTGGGGGATGGCGTGGACAGCAATCATGTTCTTCTTTTTTTTTTTCTCTTCTTCTTTCTCATGCAACCCTTTTTTTTCCGCTCCCTTTTCCTTCCTCGCCAAAGTCACAACAACTTAGATGTTTAGGATATCCCATCTCGTTCACCTTGAAATATCAAACAATATCAAATCCAGTCCCCTTGTGTGTGTGTGTGTGTGTGTGTTTTTGGTTGGTCAAAACCCACTCACTCCCTAATCTTCATTCATCTATTCTTCTTCTTTTTTTTTTCAAAAAACCATTCATGTCAGAATAACGATTTCCCCCTCTCAATTACAACTTCGCCTTCCCACTCCCACTCCCTCCTCCTTCCTCCCTCCCCTTCAACCCCTCATGCGCCACCCTCACCCCCCTCGTAACAACATAAAACGCCATCCCTGCACTCCGTGTCGAAAACTCCACCTTGGAGCCCACGTGGAAAAACGCAAAGTCCCCCGCGACGAGATGATGCGTGATGCCCGTTGCACAGTCCAGCACGTCAATCTGCCCGCTAAGCACGTACTTGGACTCTTCAAATGTGTAGCTGGCGGGCTTGGCGGGGCCCGCGGTGATTTTGTAGAAGCCAGAGGTTAGGGGCGTGGGGGTTGTCGTGGTGCGCGTGGGGGTGCTGAGTAGTGGGGAAGTGTTGGTGGTTGTGGTTGTAAGGGGGAATGAAGGAGGAATTTTTTTTTCTTACGTGTGGAAATCCGCTACGGTGGCATTGTCGCCTTCGGGTAGGGCGATGAATTCATGGCCTGCGCCTTTGATTATGGTGAGGGGGACGAGGGTATCGGATGAAGACACTTTTTTTTGTGCGAGAGGGATATTTAGTTGGGGGGACTTTTTTTTTTTTGCATATGTAGACTTGGGACAACTCACTCTTTCTTTCTTGTTAGTTCTATTTTCAATTTTGTGGATTAAAGAGGGATTGGGATTGGGAGAATGGAGAGTATAGAAAGTAACATGTACTTTATTATAACAACGATAGATATTTTTGCCAGTGATAGTTATGGTAGGTAATACTTCCCACCCCCCCTCTCCACCTGCAGTGCATGCAATAGTTGCCCTAATCGGGCAAGCCGTGCCTGACTTCCCAGGTCAGGTTAGCCCAGCCGCTCACACAATTTACACAAATGCACCCACCTTTTTCTTAAACCAACTACACAGCAACACATAAGTCAAGCGGGTCGAACATTTGTAATGCAAAAGAAAAAAAAGAAAAAGAAAACAGAATGACCGGGTATACGCGGCGCGAGTACTTTACTTACTACATATCAAGGTTTCAATCCATTGTCGCAGCCAAGTCTGCATATGTCTAACTTTTAACCCCCCATTACTTTACACAGCCCCACCTCCCATGTAAATGCATTCCATATCTTGCACCAGTAATTGCAATTCTCAAACATTTTACCGCGCCCTCCCATAAACGTTCAAAACCCAAGTAACACACAAACACACACACACACACACACCCAATCAATCTCCATCCACTTTCCTCAACAGCGGCATAGACGGCATTTTGCCCAGCCTCTTTGCTGTTGCTGCTGACGCTGCTCCACCCTTCTTCGCACCGGCCACCTCATGCAGCACCTCGCCCTTGCCCGACTTGTGCGGCGCAAGGAAGGTATCAAACGTTATGTTTGGGTTCGGCTGGAAGGAGACTTGGTGGGCTAGGGGGCTGCGCACGCGGGTGGAGGACGAGTCGGAGGGGGGACCCGGGGAGAGCGCGAGGGGGCATATGCGACGGTGGTAGTGGTAGCTGCTTGATGAAGCTCCATGTGTGGGGCGGTGCGAGAAGTAGTCGCTGTTGCTGCTGCTGCTGCTGCTGCTTGGGCGGGGATTACTACTATCTAGTGCGAGGGATGTGCTACAAGGACTCCTTGAGGGCGATGCTAGGAGACCGGCTGGTGAGGAGCTAGTAGAACGGTGGCCGTGAGTCGACTGTGTGTAGGTAGACTCTTGGTATTCCTTGCCAGTGTCAGTTGTAGTAGTCATCTTGATATGCGGTACGCGAAACATTCCACGCACCTTGTCTAGCACCCTGTCTTTCACTTTCGCTTTCGCTTTCGCCTTCGCCATCGCGCGCTGGCTGTATTGTTTGCCATGGTCTATATCTGCAAGTGCTTTCATCTTCTCGACTTTGGGCATTACTTGGGGAATGAGGCTCCTGCGAGACTCGTGATAGCGCACCAGATCCCAGCCTGTCCATTGCTGGAGGTTGTGGTTCTTCTCCCCGTGACTGAGGGCGTGCCTATCCTCTTTCGACAAGGCGGTGGAATAGTAGCGTGGTAGCTTGTGGATGTAGTCTATGGGGAACGCCATGAATGGCAATCGAGACTCGTGGAGTTGTAATCTAGCAAAAGGTTGGTGTTTGTCGTTGTTTGTATAAGAGTTAGCAGTGTTATAAGTCCCGAGTGAAATCAATGAGTGAACATCGAGTGGTGCAAACAAGTCTTGTGAGCCATCACTCTCTCGTGAAGTTATGATATGTCTAGAGGAGGAAGTGGCGTCTAAGGTGCCTGCTGTTTGCAGCCAATCCTCGACTCGACGGTCTTTACTACCCATCCGCTCCAATGCACCTGGTGGGAAAGGCATTGCATCCGACTACTTTTGCTGCATCAAGGAGAGTATTTCCCCAACTTGCACGCACAGAACAAATAAAATTTACATTTTGTAAACCCAAGTAGTCGCCCTGTAAAGTGATACATGTCTGCACAATGTTTGCACAATGATTGCAACATAAAAAAATGGTGCTATTTCAAGCGTGCACAGTATCTAATTCTGGATGCTTTCCGTAAGCACTAGCAGTGTCATCTATGTATTATATGTTCCTCCATTACAGTAGTACCTCACCGCTTTTGGTGAAAAGTGATGCCAAGCTCGGCGATGAACCGCAGCTACTCTACAACGTTCTAAGGACCAACTACTCTTACATCTCGGACAAATGAAAACAAGCTTGTTTGACTTGAAAGTCGTCGTCTTATCCGGCGCCCCGGGTAATTTAATGTAAATCTCTTCTAGCAATGTTTCTTTCATTGCTTTCTCATCGTCTTCCTCCTCATCATTCCGCATACTCTCGACGCAAAACATCGATTCCAGCAGTTGAGTGTGACTCTTAACCGATGTATACAATCTTGTTGTCGTACCAGACAATAATCATGGTCTTCTCTTGGTGCGTCTACGAATGGTCGGGTGCAGTAAAGTCTTCATGTGGACTCTGCAGATCCGAATTGGGGGTGGAGGTGGGCCATATGCTCAAGGGAGAGGCGTGGATTTGTAATCCAAAATGCACTGACGATTGAGTCGTACGGTATTAATAGGGTATATTATTATCGCAATCCGCGTGAGTTCAAATTATGATCCACTGGAGCGAGGCCAGTGTAATAGAAGCAAAAATCAAAGATGTTAGTGAAAATGGTGCGTTCCGGATTCCATATGAGTGGGCGGGAGGTGAGGAGGGGGAGCCGGAAGAAGAGCCAGTGGAAGCGGCAGGGGAAGAAGGGGAAGATGGACTGGCAGATGGAGAAGAGTTATCGCCGTTGGCTGTGGGTCTGTAACGTCCGTTAGCGTTTGCGTTTCCCAGAAAACAAACATGACAACGACTTACTGTTTCAAGTGGAGGCCTAGATTATCAACTTCATCACATCTCTTCTGCTCCACTTCGGGGACTTTTTCCATGGCCACGTTGTTGTCATCGTTGAAAACCAATCTCTCCGGATCCTTGGCATCATATGGTTTCCAATCAGGACTCTTCAACTCAGAGCCTTTCTTGACAAGGAACTCTGCCGTAAACTTGTTGGGATCATAGCTCCTGATGAACGACGCCCAGTAGGCTTGAACAAACACACCAGCAGCAGAGGTAGCATTGTTCCAGATGGGCAACAACTCGCCAACGTGCAACGCTGCTCCAACGTTCCACCTGTAGTGCCATGTAGAGTGCTCTTTATCGCTAGAAAACGTAGCAGAAATGTTGAGTCCAGGACAGTCGTATCGAATTGCGCCATAGATGTCAGCCGTGACTGCTCTCCAGCCGTTGGTGTTGCCCGCGGCAATATCAGTTTCAGAGCCCCAAATCCGAGAGATGGCGCTCCACTTCATGCCGGGGTAGTTATCAATCAAGAAGCTTTCTGCCTTTGCTAGCGAGACAACGTTCTGGGGTGTGAAGATGACGCCGTCGTGCGTGGCGGTGCCGAAAATTGTGGGTACGTGGACGTAGTGACCAGCCTTTAGTTCGTTAAACGTGAAGTCCTTGATGAAATCGCCGTCAATTGTGGGGTTCCAGAAGTATATAGGCGGACCACTGCCGCCAGGAAAGGGCTCCTGTAGTGAGCGCACAGCGTTCTGGAACTGGACAGTATCCATGTTGGCCATGCAGTTGAGGTCCTTGCAGCCTGTTTGGCGAAGCAGTTCGTTGTATTGCCATTGGCTATCCTTGACGTCACGTAGAGATGGGAAAGCTGCCGACTCGGCAGCAGCAGCATGGAAGAGACCATCGTCCCGACCGCCATAGGCTGTAAGTTGGAATACGACTGAGCCTCCACCAGCGCTTGCGCCTCCAATCGTCACATGGTTAGGATCACCTCCGAATTGCTTGATGTGAGCTTGTACCCATTTGAGGGCTTGTCTCTGATCTTTGAGTCCGTTGTTCAAGCTGAACTTCTGGTCTGCCGCAATCTCATCAGAAGCCAAGAAACCATATGGACCCACACGGTAGTTGAAGTTTACGACGACCATCCCATTGTCAGCTGCGTCAATCAGGTCTGCGCCATTGTAGTTTGCGTTGCCGTTCATGCTGAAGCCACCGCCTTGGATGAAGACAAAGACGGGTAGATTGCTTGTGTCATTTGCTGTGCCGGGTGAGAAGACATTAACAAAGAGGCAATCTTCAGCATGAGTTCCTCCTGTCTCAGAGTTGAGGACGCTTCTGGTTCCGATGCACAAGGGTCCAAACTATCGCTCTGTCAGCTTGCCTGTCAGAATACCATGTAATAATATGATTGCGTACCGATGACGCATCTACGGTGCCGTTTTCCTTGACTGGATCTTGTGGAGCAGCGAATCGTAGACCCTCTTGAAGCGAGGGGCTGCGGGCAAATCGCATGCCAGCCCAGCGCATGACGCCATTGCCGATACTTTTTCCGCGGTACTTTGCATATCCAAGATCGACGACTTCGTCTAGGGCAAGGGCACTGTGGAGGAAGAAGGCCACACAAAGCAATAGGCGCAACATTGTTGTTCTTGCTGGTGCTGTTGCTACTGCTGTTGCGGTGCGAAGAAGGGAGCGAGGCCAGTCAAAAGACAAAGGATATACCTCAGATAAGGTGCCCGTGTTCGGCGATATCCTTGCCAATGATGCCGAATAGACGCGGGTCCCCCGGAATGGTGACGATGCTATAATGCAGGGGGGACTAGGAGTTGTAGATCTTTCTAGATAGGAGAGAAGGGACAGCCAAAAAAGAAAGCGGGTGTCAGCATCAGAGGGTCATATAGGGGAACTGTGACCAAGAGACTGGTTGTGACCGATGCGTTAGCAAACCATGGGCGGGGCGTGAGAATTGACATGGACGCTCTAGCGAATGCAACATACCATGGGCACGGATTGTTTTGATACTGGCGTTGGCACACACGAACACGAGGGTGGCTGAGCCGATGACTTTGTAGTCGGCTGCAGATGGGCAAGCAATGGACGTTAATGGACAAGTCGAGGCACTTGTACGCAGCTCCGCTAATGCAAAACGGTGCATCTTGTCAAGGCAGTTCCTGTCGTGGCGGCACCGCGCTAACCCGCGATGCCGGAATCCAGGAGCCAGACCCGGGTGGTTGTGAGCTGTTGTGACAAGGCGGTTTGTTGCGCGTTGTGTGCATGAGGCTGAAGCGGCCAGGCACTCCTGGGTTAGGCGCTGCAGGGTCGATGGTGTCAGGCTAGGATAAAGTCCCGACGACGAATAGCGTGAGCTGACAGTTCAATTACACCGAGAAAACACCACGAGCACCAACGAGAGCCCGAGATGCGTATAATGCACAGTCAGACGAATACTACTAGAGCACACATCCGTAATGAACACGGTTTGGGTGTGTGTCAAGAGCCCGAGGATTCAATAGTTCTTGCCCATGTTCTAGCGGCTCTCAGGGGGGGGGGGGAAGCGGATAATCTACATAGTAGATGAGAGGGAGGAAGACACGCATTAGCTACTTAGTGCCTACCCCGAGGGCAGATAGTGGGAGAGATCTGCAGCAGACGGCTGGCAAAGACTCTGGCTGGCTGCTGTGGGCACCATGTGGGACCTGCAGCCCAAGTCGCGACCTGAAGCAAAAACATGATCGCTCCAGGGATGGGAATGCTGGCGAGACGAGTAGAGTGTTTCGCCAATTTGCACATGGCGAGTGCTGCCGGGCTGCCTGAAACGTAACAGGACCGCGCAGGCATCTGCGTGCGGGTATAGATGCCATTTCCAGGGTGCAAAGCGGTGCTGGTATACACGCGCCCGAAAGCCGAAGCAGCCGAGAGATGAGAGAGGGCGTGTGGACGGGCGGGTCGTATGCAAGTAAGTAGTATGTGTGCGTGCGTGAGAGAGAAAGAGGCTTTCGTGGACCCCGGAAAGCGAAAGGGGGCACGGGCCCAGGCCATCCTGGTTAGGCAGCCACTGTGCCACTAGTCAATGCTTAGCCACGGCTTGACGCTGCGCCACAAGGCCTTCTCTGCCTCGCCTCCATCCCCCCATGCCGCTATCATGAAACGGGCGCGCATGTCAGACTCGCCGGGCGCGCCCATTCGTCCTCGAGGCATGATCCAAGCAGTCTGGGGTCGAGTAAATCGCTCTCTTCAAAGCGCCATCCTTGCGCACAAGATGCCATAGTGTGTTGACCATGCATCCCCCGCCCAAGCAACGCGCCGGCTATAGTCTCTTGCTCGTCTATCTGTCGGCAGGCACCCCAAAATAACTTCTCGTCTACTTACTTACCTACTCGACCCTCGTCTGGAACGCCCCGTTCCCGAAGCATTTCCCGCTCTCGTGTCCACGTTCTGGAACTCGCTCTTCTACTCGCCGCCACGTCATTCGCCCCTGCGTACGGGCTCTCGTGTATGCAGCCCACACGTGCATTTCCACCTCACGCTGCTCTGATGGTTGACCCTTTTCACTCTTCCGCACGGACATCTATGTACGCTTTTGATCTGCGACCATCTCACCGTGTGACTCAGCCTGGCATTGCTCCCAACCAAGCATAACAATAACTTTATCGACTAGTTAATTGATACTACGCTTACTTACTATATCTACTGACTTCCTGCACGTCGCGTCAAGCGTCCCATCTTCCATCCTTCATGCTTTTGCGCGATTAAAAGTCAGTCACCCTTCCGTTGTAGCTCCAGTCGCTGGCGTGTCCCCATCTCAATGGTTCATTCTTTGGTCCCCCCACCTCTCCAGTCTTGGGATTGACATCGCCCTCAAACTCTGGCGGTGCGCCTCTTCGCATGTTGGGGTGAAACTCTTCTCCCTTTTTGATCTCTTTGCCGTTCTCGAACCTAATCTCTGGCTCTGCTGATGAGTCGGGCGACTGATTGATTTGCATGCGAATGTTTGCTTTGGACGACGGCGCTGCTTCTTCCTCGCTCCCTCTGGGCGTGCTAAAGGCACCGGTGCTTTGTTTCTGCAGCTTCTCGAACATTTCTTGCTCCTCCTTGGGCAGGCGTGGGGGCGAAGGTCCAGAGCCAAACGGTGACTGTGCGGCGCGTGCAGACATGCCAAACGACCGCCTGGACAGCTGCCGAGGTAGGCGCACCAAGACGCGCATCGCGGTAGACATTATGGTAGGTGGTGAGGCGGGTATGGTTCGATCTTTGCGACAATAGTGACTTGCACCGAGTTTCTTGATATATATGTATGTACGTATAGCCGGTCGTGGTTGCGATGAGGCAAAAAGGCAAACAGCTTTTGTTCATGTAGCTTTGGGCATGTAGCCGACGGAACCAATCGGAACCCGTTGAGTGGCAACGGAAGTCGTATGTCTTTGGCAGAACCTGTTCTTGCCATCTGAACTCCTTCCGTAATACCCCGATAGTCTGAACGGTCCCTACATACGTATTACTGTCGTGTGCAATCACAGTTCGAGCATATCCCTGTCTGTAGATCTAGCGTCCGCTTCTATGACATGTTCTCTAATTATTCACATCATTATTCAGATCAAGTCGTACCCAGTCACCCTTGCAAGTCGGCATCTCCACCAGTAACGTGCTTGAATCAACATCTACCAACACCGTGCTTCTTTGGTAGGCCATGGGTACAACTCATGTGCCATAACATCGTATTATCCAGTGCAAATATCGTCTAGCCTTTTGATAATAGTATAAAACAAACAAACACTGCTCCCTATGACTGAGGAACGCCTACCGTCCTCTGCATCCAAACGCCGGGCTATTGTACAGACTACAACATAGCACCTACGAGATATACCCACTTGCCTGCCCCAATGCCTCTGCACTTCTTCGTGCATCCAAAAACAAATCCTGGCACTCCTCTACGTCCTCAACCTCAATCTGCTTGTTCGGCCGTCCATTCACCTCGGCCAATACGCTGGCAGGCGCTAGCAATTGCAGCGCATATCGCAGACTGATCTTCTCGCCCAATGAGCTGACCTTGTCCTTTGCCGCTGGCGACATGTTGAGCTTCTCCGTCGTAATGCGCGTCGTGATGATGGAGCTAATTTCTGCCGGGCTGTACGGATGTGTGGGAATGATGAGGAGTCGCGCAAGTAAATCCGTTGGGATGCCATGGGCCGAAGGAGGCAGGTTTGTACCGCCGCGAATGTGCGTGTTGCCACGGTTCGAGGCAAGAATAACGAGAGGCGACAGGGGCGACTCGAGCGCGCGGTTGAGAAAGGTGAAAGCCTCAAGGTCAAGCATGTGAACCTCATCAATGAAGAGAACACCAGGTACTAGGTCTGCGATTCCCTGGTCGATGTACCTGTTGACAACCTTGTTGATCTCTAACCGCAGCTTCTCTGTAATCTCCGTCTTCTTTGGCTTCATGAGCTGACCCATCATGCTCATAATGTCCTGACCTCCCTGCGGCCGTGCATTTGCAACGTCCAAGTCGTGTAGGGTAACGTCTTGGACAATTTCCTTCTTCTTGTGCACATCGCCCTTTGGTATAGGCACATACTCCTCTGCTTCGAGATCGAACTCGGTCGCGTAAGCATCCGATCGCCCAACGCGCTTCACAGCGCCAGTGTTGGCTTCAATGTAGATGACGTCGCCCAAGCGCACGCGCTCCTTCTGTATGGCCTCGTAGATGGATGGATCGAGTCGCAGTTTCTTTGTGCCCTTGGCAGACTTGAGAGTGATGAGGAGATGGGAGATGGTGCGGCCGTAGCCTCCGAGTGGATTCTCGGCTTCCTCTGGGGTGAGCTCGGTCACTTCACCTTCGTAAACTTCCTTTGTTTCCTTGACACGCAGACCTGTGGCTGAGTGTTAGTTTGGTTGGAGGAAGAGGGAAAGGAATGCGCACCGATGGCCCTTCTGAAGTTCTCCATAAGCGCCTCTGTCTTCTTAACCTCTGCAGAGTAGATCTCACTACCGACAATAGGGCAGAAGGGGACCTTTGTGCCGAGTTCCTGGCTTACGGCCAATGCCAGTGCGGTCTTGCCCGTTCCCGGTCCACCTGCGAGCAGCACAGCTCTACCAGACATCTTCTTTGCCTTGACAAGGTCGACGACTAGACCGCATGCCTGGGCGGGTTAGCGCCAAGATGGAGTAAACAGCGAGCCATCAAGTACCTCTCGAGCTGCAGCCTGGCCGACGAAGCCTCCGGCTGAGGGTGTCGCACGCCCATCACTTGACAGGCCTAGGCCTTTGATGTGGGAATGCGCCGCGGTTCTTGAGGAGCGATCATGTGTGCTCTTAACTTCGCTGACCGGCACCGTTGTCATTTTGGCAGTCGCAGACACTCAATTATGTTGTATGTGAAACGGGTATACTGAAACAAGGACGAGTGTAGGTTGAACGGAGGGTGAGGGGGTGGCGTGAAGGGTGGGTGTAGCTGGGCGCGTCGTGTTTGGCGTGTCTATGGAGCTCGAAGTTTTGGGCGAAACATGGGCAGTTCGCGAAAGGGCACAGCTAGCGCGCCGACCGCTCAGCACTCGCACGCACACACTCAAGTCAGGGCGCCCGCTGATTCCCCACCCTCCACCTCCGCTTGCAGAGACAGAACAGCCACTATTCCCGGACAACACCTTCTTTCTCACTCTCCCTTTTCCTCCCTCACTACATTGCAGCGTGTGCTTTGCTTGGATTGTCCAGGCTATCGCCCCTGCTTCTCCTAACCTAACTTTGTTTTCTGCATGCGTCCCCGACTGTCGAGACTACGTCCCTCTTCCTGGCGCGGCTTGTCCGCTGCCGTCACACGACGCTTACACGATGCATATGCGGAGCCAGCGACAAGGCGTACAGTATCTGGTTCCCCCACTCTCTTAGGATGCACTCCTCATGCACAGCGCTACACACGACCGTCCTGAGGGACTGGCCTTTGCACCACCCCGTAACCCCTCGGTACTGGCTTGCCTGATCAACCACCGGCTAGTACTACTGCCTCGCCCCCTGAAGAGACGCTCATGCAGGCATCCAACGCATCCAACCACGAGCAGTAAAGCAATACACGACAATTGCTACACACGGCCTTTCTCTACGTCACTCGCTCACCCTCTACACACATACGTCGGCATCTCTCCCCTATCCTCGGCCTGTCGACCCCGTCCTTGGGTACGACCCAGCTTCGAGTACTCAACAAGACAAAGGCCCGACTGAAGAAGCACGCAACATCACGCACCAATGAACACGGCAACAGACGCATTGGACAAATTATCTGCAAATTATCTGCATTTTGTTTTGGCTGCCAACCTCGCGCAGCGTATTCATACAGCAAAAAGACTACTCGAAATGTCCTCCGTCTTTACAACCACACCACGCCAAATGCTGGGTACAGCGAGCAGCCCATGTCCTCAACTAGATGGACCAGCGCAAAAGATAAACCTCGTCGTCACTCGTAATCCATTGTCGGCATGGGTACCATCATCAAGGTACCGCTAAGGGGGGGGGGGGATCTGGTCGCGAAGAGAATACTATACAAACGTTGTGTATGTGGGTATGAGAAGGGTGACGTGCAAATGGGTGAGTGAATGAGGACGCGCAGATATTAAAGCACGCACTAACATTCCGCTTCAGCCCTTGGTAGTCCGTGGCGATACCTGATCGACCGCACCAAGAAGCTCAAGGCTGTTCATTCATACAGGGAAGAGAAGGGATGAAGCTGGACCAATCATCGAACACACGCAGGGCAGAACAGGGGTAGGGCAGAGCATGGCAGGCGAGCAAGTCACGCGGAAACAAGAGGGTGTGCCGAAGAGGTTTACTCTTCTTCGCTTTCAGAGCCGCTCGACTCATCGTCGTCGCTGGATGCATCGTGCACTGCATAGGTTAGTGGATGATTGCCTGGATCAAGCACTGACAACTTACCAGGTGGAGACTGGCTGGATCCCGATGCACCGCCCTGGAACGACTGCAACTTCTCCTGGATCTTGCGCATGTTGTCTTCCTGCTCTGACTTGCCCATGGGCTTGTTCTTCTTGGGCCGGCTCGCCGTCTGCTTCGATACTGGTCTTGGTGGCTCGAAATCGTCATCGGCTACCGCACCTCCTTTCGGACCGCGCAGAGACTTGATGAACTTCAACAGCTCTCTAAGCGTGTCGTCATTGATTTCGTCCATGTCAAGCTCCATCTCGTCGTCATTGACACTAGCAAGGTGCGGGCATCCATTTCGGATAATCTGCACTGCTCGATGCATCTCGGCATCTCCAAGAGTGCTAATACTTTCGGAAATCTCCTGCTTCTGGGCAAAGCTGAGAGGTGCAGGTGCCTTTGCCTTCTTCACCGGCGCGCTCTTGATGGGCTTGGCTGGAGGTGGCACCGCCAGAGGCAGGCTCTTCCTCTTTGCAGATTGCCCGGTGCCCTTCTTCTTCTTGCCAGGCAGCTTGGGCGAGGCACGCTTGGCGCCCGTTTGCTGTTGCAGTAGCTGCTGGGCAGTCGCATTCAGGGCAGCAATTTGCTGCTGGATAGCAATAAACTGGGCCTGGGCTTGCGCAGTAGCTGGATCTATCTCCTCATCCTCTTCGTCCTCGTCGTCTTCCTCGTCAGAGTAGAGATCGCTTGGAGAATGCTCGGGAGGAGGTGCATGCTGGGCGAGCCAGTCTGCCTTTTCCTTCCACAGGCTCTCAAAGAGTTCCTCGAGCTTGTGGCCCATCTGGTTGACAGCGTCACCTTCGGGGTTGAACTTGTAGCAGTTTTGGAACACGAGCTGAGCATCGGCATAAAAGTCCTTTGCACTCTGGTAGACACCGTTCTTGAGGTTCTTCTCAATGGTGCCAAAGTCCATGGGCTTCTTGATGATTTTGAGATACGAAGGGATGTTGAGAGCGACAGGGTCTACCGGAGAGGTAAAGGGGTAAGTAAGAGTGCTGTACTTTGGCTTCATAAGCTCGGTGATCACAGATTCGCAGAATTTGAGCTCCTGCTGGAACTTCTTCCTTCTCGGCTTTGCATTCGAGTAGGGCAGGTCTTTGGAGGGCCTGTGGATCTCGCGCTTTGGTCGACCATCTGTAGTAGATGAATCACGACGAATTAGCGGAGTGCCATCTTGTTGCAGTGGCCAAGCAGCCTGCGGTGATGTGGCAGCTGGCGTAGGGACGGCGGGAGACTTGACGTTGGGCGGTGCAACGCGTGACTCACGCCTGGCCTTTTGCGCAGTGTTGACTGACGGCTTCTTGGCCTTTGCTGGCTTGGGCGGCTCTTCAGCAGCAGCGCCGCGAGGCATCTTACCCATACCCTTCAAGAAGTAGGCGCGCAGATTGTATCCGGCCTGCGTGACTGGGTGCTGTTTGTTGTTGAATAGCTCACTGTTGGTAATCATTTGATCAAGATCTGCCATAAAGTCCCTCACGTACTTGTACTTTTTCTCCTTCAACTTGGCCTCCATGGTGGTCAAATCCATAGGG